CAATTACACATTTTCCCCAAAGAAACTCTTTTTGGCCAGCATTTGTTAAAAATTCAACTTTTTCTCAAAACTCATTTTCAATCACATATTTTTTAGCACCACAATTTTTATAAATTTTCAGCTGTAGATTTCTCCAACTTTTATCAAAACTTACTAAAAATGAGATTTTTATCTAAATCTAAGAAGGGTATAGTGTAATGATTATAATTTCATTGCTAACAAACCAAACAAATTCAAATTTGTCTCGCGTCCTTGCGATGACTTTGACCATGGCAAGCATAACATTGAGGGAGAAATTAATTGCACTTTAGTAATATATCGCATATTATATTTCATATTCGAGTTAAGTCGGTGTATTATCACATACGACATGTTTCTTAATTTTAGCGTAGTAGGTATCTAGAATGAATTCATTTAAGTATGTAGAAATTTACAATCCAAACACGTATTCGACAATAAATTATAATTGAGATCAAAAGATTGTTTCAACAAAAGATCTTACACACGCTCCAGCCTCCAAGAACACAAAAATTGTTCACATTTAAAGTATGTGCATTATTCATTTGCATCATGCTACTGTTCCTTGATACCAACCTCCCTCCAAAAAAAATATAGCCTCCTCCTATTTATAGTCACCAAACTCAATGCACTCTTCAACTTGAATTTCACCATAACAAAACTACTTTGAAATTAGCCATGTCGCAAATCAACAACAATATTGTTGTAACTAAGCAATACCATTCTTCTAGACGCGCACCAACTCCAGGGAAGGCCACAATACTTGCCATTGGAAAGGCATTCCCGAGACAACTCGTTCTTCAAGATCGCTTGGTGGAGGGTTACATTCGAGATACTAAATGCAGTGATTTAGCTATTAAAGAGAAACTTGAGCGCCTATGTAAGACAAACTAAGTTTATTAATGTATATGATTTTTTTTTTTAAAGTTATATGGAACACAAATTTTACCGTCATTTTGCAATAAGAGAGCAACTTGGCACGATACTTTTTCAATTGCGCTATGCTGCCAGAGAGGGTGTCACACCACACTCACGAGAGGGGAAGGGGAGCACTTTTTTGGCATTTTTTATTCATGGTTCCTATGCGCATGTGAATGCATGTCAATCAAAGTGTCAAACATTTTCTGAAAAATAGCATAATTGATACTTTTTACTCGTGGACTTGAAATGGGTGTCTAGTATTCGAGCTCAACATTCGAACGACTGTCTAAGAAAATGATCATTTTGATATTTTTTTCTTTCATTTTTTTATATATCCTTTCGCAGGCGAAACTACTACTGTGAAAACCAGATATACAGTCATGTCGAAAGAAATATTAGAAAAATATCCCGAACTTGCTACAGAAGGCTCTCCAACAATCAAACAAAGACTTGAAATAGCGAATCCTGCAGTAGTCGAGATGGCAAAGGAAGCAAGCCTAGCTTGCCTAAAAGAATGGGGAAGGCCAGTTGAAGATATCACCCACATTGTCTATGTTTCCTCGAGCGAGATACGTTTACCCGGCGGTGATCTTTACCTTGCTAGTGAACTTAGCCTCAGAAACGACGTTGGACGTGTAATGCTATACTTCTTAGGCTGTTATGGAGGAGTCACAGGCCTTAGAGTCGCCAAGGATATTGCTGAGAACAATCCAGGAAGTCGAGTTTTGCTAACAACATCGGAAACAACCATTCTTGGATTTAGACCTCCGAGCAAAGATCGCCCTTACGACTTAGTTGGAGCAGCCCTTTTTGGAGATGGTGCAGCATCTGTCGTTATTGGCGCTGATCCGATACTAGGCAGAGAGTTTCCATTTATGGAACTGAATCATGCAATTCAGCAATTCTTGCCCGGAACCCACGATGTGATCGATGGACGCCTTTTTGAAGAGGGCATAAATTTCAAGCTAGGTAGAGACTTGCCTCAGAAGATTGAAGACAACATTGAGGAATTTTGCAAAAAACTCATGGCGAAAGCTGGTTTGAAGGAGTATAACGATCTGTTTTGGGCTGTGCATCCTGGAGGGCCGGCTATCCTAAACCGACTAGAATGTATCCTTAATCTGAAAGACGGGAAACTCGAATGCAGCAGAAGGGCATTGATGGATTTTGGGAATGTTAGCAGTAACACTATATTTTATGTGATGGAATATATGAGGGAGGAGTTGAATAAAGAAAATGGAGAAGAATGGGGTTTGGCTTTGGCATTTGGACCTGGCATAACATTTGAAGGCATCCTCATTCGAAGCCTGTAATGGAATTTGGGAAGAGAGAGAGAGAGAGAGAGAGATAGAGAATCCTGTGTGTATCAACTTTTTATCGAGAAAATGTATTGGAACTTTGAAGTGTGGTCAATAATAATGGAATTAAAAAAAAAAAATATGTGTTTCAAATCTTTGGTTTTTAACTCGCCTTGATATTTCCAATAATTAATGATAGAACAATTTTATTAATTTGATATTTGTCTTGATATTTTTTAGCTCCCCTTAATATTAATTTGATATTTGATATCTATGGTCCTATTTAAGCCCCATTTTTTGGGAATAAATTTTGTAAAAAGCTATTTTTCGAAGAAAATAGTGGTTAAACAACTGAAAAAAGTTTTTATGTACAAAATTATTTTATTGTAAGAGTATGTGGTTAACAGTGACTTTGAAGAAAAATGCATATTAAAGAATGTGATTCAAGCGAGATATAATTTGTCTAAAAATTAAAAGTCATGCGTCAGTTATTAAGCTTATTATAGATACGCAATCAAACCTGCGTGAGTTCACTCTTTTGACGAACTTGCGACTATAATGCGATTTGTTTTTATATCTTATTGATCCTTATACAACGTGATTGGAAGTTGAAACAACATTAAAGTTACCTCTCTAAATTATATGAACATTATGCATGCTCATGTCAAATAAACTAGGTGAAAGTTAAGTTTACCTATTCTTTTATACTTAGCCAAACATCCCCTAAGTCACCTACTTTTTTAGCCCCCGTTTGGATACATGTTTAGCTTTCGTTTGAAAAAATTTTCAAACAGAAGCTTAAAGTTTGTCTGGAAGAGATTGTTTTAGGTGAAAATTAATCTTTTATTTAGAATTTCTGTTTAAAATGTAAGAAAAAGTTACGACGAATGATTTCATGAGAATTGCTTGACAAATTTCGTCATTGAGAATTTCTGTTGTAGAATTATAGTAAAAGGTTATCAACCAACTTATTGATTTTTAAATGTCAAAGACTGACCTGCGACTAAAGCAACATCTTGGTGACCAAATACATTTTTCTCCACTCTCTCTCTCTCTATTGATATCGATGTTTTGTATATTTTTGGAGATGTCCTCAATTGAGATCTTATTGGATCTTAATTAAATTCATTAAAATTCCTTAATAATTCATCAATTTAAAATAGTTTCATTACTAAAGATTCACATGGTGTCCTCAATTGAGATTATAATGTTTTTAGAAATTCTTTTAAAATCAAGTGCCTCTAATTGAGATTTTAATGATTTCCATTAAAATCTAGCTATCTTCAATTGAGATTTTAATGAATTTCAATAAAAATATATAAAATTTATGTATCTTCAATAACTCATGAATTTATAATGATTTCATTAGTGACGGATTTTAAAATTTTTTGATGAATTTCAAACTTAAAAATACATATAAAAAACAATTTCGTTTCACTGTTATTAGTGAGATTCTTGTAAATTTGTAAAAACATATTCAAATTCACAAAATTCATTAGAATATACAATCGTTTAAAATCCAACGAAATATAAGTTGAAGACGGATCCCTTTAGATTTTGAAAAATTCCAAACTTAAAAATAAAATAACAAATTTCTTTTGAAATTTCAAAAATTTTAATGAGATTCTTATGAATTATGTGAAAATATGTTCTAATTTACACAGTTCATTAATTTTTTTAAATTTATTAAAATTTCAATTGAGATACATATATATATACGTGTGCGCGCACGCGCACTATGTGTAAGTTATATACGTCTTTCTAATGATTGAATAAACAAAAAAAAATGTCAAATCGAATATTAAGAAGTATAAATTCCAAAGTTTTTAAGATAGCACGACACGTGTAAATTACTTATTTCAAATTTGAAGTTTTTCAAGATAAATACAACGTGTGAAAGTCACATTCCTTTACAACTACTGGACGAAAAAAATCATTAGATTGAATATTAACTTACTATAATTATAGTTTTTAAGAGAAGTAGGATGTGTGTATACTACTTGTTTTTTCAACCGTCGAACGAATAAAATTCATTAGATCGAATAACTTGATATAAATTTATAGCATTCAGGATGATTACATCACGGACAAGTTCTTGCTTTTTCAACTGTCCAATAAACAAAACCCGCTAGGTCAAATATTAAATTGCTATTGCATTTTCTAAGATAAATACGATAGGCGTACATTATATAGCTTTTAATTTGCAAAACAAAAAAAAAATGTTAGATTGTATATTAACTTGCAATAAATTTACCATATTCAGGATAACTAATTTCTAAGATAAATATAACATATGTAGATTATATAACTTTTCATCCGTAAAACACAAAAAAAATATATTAGATAGAATATTAGCTTGCTATAAATTTAGTCTCTGTTTGGTTCTCATTATTTTTTCATTAAAATGAAAAATATGACTGTTATTCATTACATAATTTAAATTTTTATCTTTAATATGAAGTTCGTAACAACTATATTTTTAATTTTTATTTTTTTAAAAAATGAGAAATAAATGGGGGCTTAATAATTAAGATTTATGGAATAAGGATTATTTCAACACAAAAATCAGGTAATCTGCTGCCACGGCACCCTAATTATTGTAACAATCAGATTACCGCGAGTAAAATGCTATGTGTATACAAAAGTGAGGGACCCTCACACGATGAAATAAAATATTCATGATCCTTTTTTGTGTGACGGGTGTAATGTATTGTGTACACACTTCTATAAACTGCCAGTATACGGCAAGTTATGAAATGACTAAATCACCCTCGTAAGATTTCTCAAATTTCCACCTTTCTCCATTAATTTCCTCAATCGAAAAAATTCCACCTCTCCAACCATGCTGTATACAGAGGAGATCGTGTTTGTGTCTGCTTGTGCGCGTATGTGCGTGTAAGGGAGAGTTCTATCAGCCTGTTCTTCAGTTTACAGGGAAAAAGAGGAGATAAAAAATTCAAGGATTGATTACAAATTGACTCCATTGAAACCCAGATTCTGTGCCAGTATAAAACTGTACAATTCTTTTAATTTTTCCTGAATTAATGTTTACTTGAAGGAAAAACAATCTAATTTTGTATATACGGATTGTTTAGTGTGTATGGGTGTTTAACTTTTAGAATTTGTTATGGTATATTGGCTGCAAAATTTTATGTGGTTTAGAGAATAATTGATAGTTTTAGGGTTTTGTTTTGGGAGGGCGGGTTACCGATGGGGAGCACAGGTGAAGCTGGCAGAAAGCGACGTCATTTTAGCTCTATATCACCTACTGCCGCTACTGTGAAGAAACATTCCCTCGTGCCCTTATCCGAGGATAAAAAGGTGAAATTTTTAGTCTATTTATATATTTTTAATTTATCAAGATTTATATCTTCTCTAAACATGATGTGCAGAATGGGTTTATGATTGGCTCCATTTTCTTTCCGATAGTTATTTGCACTAGTAGCTAATTTCTGAACTGGGTATGGATTCTATCCTGAAGGCTTGGCCTGGTCTGAAGGTGGGCCTTGTAGAAAAGGAAATTGGGGAGGTAGCTTATAGGCATGAGAAGATATGTCATGGTGATAATTGATATCATCTTTGACCGTACCACTCCCCACCGTGTAGATCTTGCATTTAGAATAGCCAGATTTCAGCCATTTGCGGCTATTTTACATTTTCTTCTTCTTTCAGTATTATATTTTTATCCTTATTAAATTGCATTAACTACCTAAAGTGCTCACTAGCTGTAATGGAAGGAGTTGGTCGTGATTCGTGGCATGACGACACCTATACCATTGAAATAGTTAGAGTTCGGGGGTCTTAAAAAGGTTGTGTAGGGGGTTCTATTAAGAATGAAGAAGAGGAATAGATTGTTATCCATTTTACATTAATAGAATTCTTGGATACGATACCAAGATGACCTAACATAATGCAATAGTCATCGCATTTTCTAATCTTGAATTAACTTTTTCCTTTTCTTATTTTGACCTTTTTGGGTTCTTGTTACATATTAATATATTTTCCACAGTTGCAATGTGAGTTATTCTTTTTCTATATTTATTCCTGCTTCTGCTCTTTACGGAAGGCAGAGTGGAATGGTGCATCCTTTTCTTCATTCAAAGTCAAGATCAAAACACTGGCTGCATGTTACCTAGCATTCCTACTCTCACTATGCTTAGGACATCTGATTCGTGCATTCTAGTGCATCGTTGCTTCTTTAATTTTGTGGATTTCTGTACCTGCGGCCTACCAAGCTGGTGGAGCGCTCGTTGTCTTTACTTTTCTTTCTGCTGGGGCCTTCCCATTGCTCTAGCCATAAGCTAAGGCAGCTCCAGCTCGCATAAATAGAAAATTCTTACAATGAAAGAAGTTATCAAGAATTTGTGCTTGTGAAAATTATCGAGTAATCAGAGATGAAAAAGAAGACCCGAAATTTTATATGATTTGTGTTATATTCACCATCTCTTGTTTGAAGGAATCTTGATTTGGGACGCGTAATAAATCTGGATTACCCATACTCTTGAATATATGTTACAGAGAGGAATTGTCCAAAGGAATCTTGATTTGAGGTGCGTAATATAGTCGGATTACCCATAGTCAAGAATATATGTTAACAGTGAGGAATACTGTTTTCAGAAGAAAGAGTTTATGAAGAATTAGAACTTTATACTAGAAACCAAAATTCTTATCTTTAGAATTCTAGAAATATTGAGACGAAATTCTTAATAGGACATGTGGAGATGCTCTAAGCCATGCAGTCTGCAGATATTGAACTCTCTGCTTATGCTACTTATGGGTTCTTTATGTGCTTTGCATATGTTGAACTCGATAATGTGCCTGTTGTTTCTAAAATTGGGTCATGAGCAGGTTCATCTTACCACTGAGCTGCCTGGGAATCTGAGAATTTGCTTGACCCGGGATATCACCTGATATGTGACATTTTACTCCCTTTTGGTCTCTTTAGCATGCCGCTGTGACTCTCTACATCCTGAAAAGAACATTCATAATTTTAAAACTTGGCCAGTCACGATTGCCAATGCTCTTATAAATTAGACAATATAAAGGAGTTATATCACTGGCATCAACACGGACCCGTATAAGTTGTTATTAGAACTGAGAAGAAAGGAAGTGGGTAACTTTGTATAAAATATCGTTCAGGGAGCACATTTCAAGGCATTATGTTTCCACTTTATGTTAGTCTTTTTACAGTCCTAATTTCTAAACAATCAGTTCTCTTTGTTTCTTATTTTTCCTTTTTTCTTTTGTTCCTTCCTTTTGAGCACCCCTCTTGTTAAATTTTATTTACTAAGATAATATTTACTTTGATTTTGTGTTTTCTCTTTCTCTCTGTACGGAAAGAATTCCAAAAAAGCACAGTCCCACCCTCCCCGCTCAAGAAGGGGAAAAATAATATTTTTAACTCTATTATTAGTTAGTCTGATTACCAATATGCATAATGCAGAGCATTTGTATTACATTAAAATGAGGACTGTTCTGAACAATAAACTGGAGTGATATATAATTTTGATTTACTCTCAGTTTAATGTGGAGGATAAAAAGTCTTTATTTTGTTGTAACGCTTTCAACACATTTAATCCATCTCGACTTGCGCAGACATTTGGATGGATTTTGGCAATTGTGTTTCACTGGAGCAGATTGGTAATACTTTTTTCAGTTTCTTTATGTATACTGCTTCTTAGTGAAGCTTCACCTTGACTCTTTTTCACCAAAAATGTTATTTAGTGCACAGAAGTGGGCCTATGTAGGCATCTTTGTGTTAGAGCTTTGATTATTTCAAAGTGATGTGGTTTTCCTTTAATAGATTTATACCATAATTAGAGCATATTTCAAAAGGTACGATGAACAAATCATTGTATGGTGACTAGTAGAGTTACAACGTTTAAGAAGTCAAGTGTCCTTTTCTAGAGTTCTCTACAAATGATTGCTGAAGAAATGATTATCTTATATTCATATGTGCTCGACAAATTTCCCTTGCATATTGAACTTTAATTAATATGAGCCGCTAGTGTACCAATTTTCAGGATGCTTTTACATATTCACTTGTTATTGGGTTTTAATGCTACTTGACGGGCAATTAATGTGTTGAACATATCTGCTCTACAGAGGAAAGAAATTTGTCCCGAAAGGATTTGCCCACTCTGTTTAGCTGTAAACTTTCTATCAAACAGTATTCCTACATCGTTTTTGGAGTTTGTTCGCATGAAAGTATTACTAAGGCTAAATTTGGAATTTTCTTATTATATTTGAGTAAGTTGTTGCATCATTTCCTTAAAATTAAATTTTCCGTTGCTGTAGCTTGACGCGGCAGTACTTCAATTTCAAAATCAGAAACTTACCCAGAAGTTAGAAGCTCAAAAGATTGAGATCCGTGCTCTGCAATACAAGTTGTGTCAATTAAAGGAGAAACAACAGTCAAATGAGAAGTCTTTGACTGTGGTTAATAATTCATGGGAAGAGGTATATAATTTTGACGTGAATATTTTTTTCGATATCGTTCTATTACTTTTGCTTGTGTGTGTGTGTGTATATACACACACATTAACTGCCTCATGGACAATGTTCTGGACCTAATGATTTTGGTTCCACTTTTATACCAGCTCATTGATGACTTAGAATCACATTCTACTCGTGTAAAAGATTTGGTGACAAGTGGACGAGGTTTTGAACACCAAATTGTCAAAGATGGTGAGAGATGCCTTGACTTACACAGCATCCTCCCCCTTTATTTATTTTCTGTCCTGATTCCTCTTAGGCACATTTTCATTTTGAAACACGTCCTATGTACGGTAATTTATATATCACATGTATTCACCCAATGTGCTGATATGTGGCAGATCGACATTTTTAATTTGTACGATTTTGACCACTTACCAAGATTAAAGAGTTTTCCCTTGTATTCGGCAAATTGATATCATATAAATTTCCTTATACCTGCATCTTTGTTTTATCCATCAGGATCTATTTCTTCATTTCCAGTTATTTCTTTCACTTCGGTTCCTATTTTTACTTCAAGATGATGCACGATCTGAGTTTTAACTCTTAAAACCTGAGTTTGATATCAAGTAAGATCAGTCTACTGGATATTTCTTTGTGTGATACACATGGCATGCTATATCTTCATTTTTCATAGTATTTGATTGATGATTTCTGATTTGAGTTTCCATGAATTTTCGATTTTATTATTTGAGCGTGTTATGTTTGAACAACATACAAAATGTGTTTTTGAACTTTTAGTTAAGTGCAATTAGTTTCCTTTTCTTGGTTTATATTAGTTCCCAAAATCGATCCCTCATCAGGCCAGGAAATGTGTTCAGTTTACGAGATAGATAAGTGTTAGATCCTGACGTTTCATGTTCCTTTTTTCTTAAATCTATATCTGGCATGTCCTCTGCTGTAATTCCACTTACATCTTTTAGCCCTTTATTTATCTTTATTCACCTCCCATCTCTTCATTATTTAAAATCCAGTTTGTCTATTAATGATTTCCCCTGATGTGGACTTGTGAATTTTACTCGAGAAAAGAAAGTGGCGAATATCATGGGTAAAATTGAATTGAATTTAATCTTTAGGATTTTCTATATAAGAGCCAACTCCCTTAGAAAAAAGTCAAACTACAAGTTGAAAGCAAGTGGCTTATGTCTTTGTCTTTAGGTTTAGGGCTTCCACTTGAAGTTTCCAATCTTCAAGCCCTATCGTACCTGTTATAGATTGTGCGGATAGTTTTGGTTGTTAGAGTCTGTGAAGATTTATCTGTTCGGCGTTTGATTTAATCCTACTGAAATTTTATGTTTAAAGTCTTTAAACGATCTTTTAAATTACATTACTTTCATAAGTTCCTCTCTAATATCTTCTCTGCTATAGCTCCACAGTGTTAATGCTATTACTTTGAGATTCCTGGGTTATTTAACCTTAAAAAACTGCTTCATTGAGTATAAAGCAAGTTGTGAAACAGATGACTCTCCAGCATTTTTTTTTTTCATTTTGAACTACTTTGAGTTGATGGGTGAACTCTAGATGCATGAAATTTATGTTTGCTGATGTTTAATTATTTGCTTCTTAGATGGTGATTTTCATCCTGAGAAAGCTTTTTTAAGCCGACTCTTAGAAAAGGGCGCAACTGAAAGTAGCTCAGCCGGCACAACTACAATTCTGTCTGAAGAAGATAGACAAATTGATGGTGAAAAGAGAAAGAGCATACTGCATAACACAGTCAATGCATGTGAAGATTTGAGTAATTTGAAGAGTAGCATGTCTGCTGCATGTTTAAATGTGCTTCTGTCTGATGGTAAGGCCATGCAAGGAACATGGATACAGCGTTGAAGCTTTTGAATATAGATCACCAGTTTCTTATCAGCAGTCTGGGTGCTCTGCCTTTGAAATTGATTGCTTTGTTTTCTTGTTCTGTCGTTTTCTTTTCTCCTACCATAGGATGGAGCCAGCAGGGGGTATCCTGTGATTTGCAGGCGGAAGTTAAGAAACTGAGACTGGCAGTGGGCAATCTTCACTTGAAGCACAAATCACTGGCTGCTGAATTTCAGGGCAATCGAGACACCGACACTAAGAATAAAGCTGACCTTAAAGGTTTGAAAGGTATTTGATTATTCCCACTATAATCTTTACTTTTATAGGTATATACCAGATCATTATGTTTCGGTTGAGCATATTAATGTTCTTTTAGGATGCAATTCTCTTCAACGTCTTTGACTAATATCTTTCAGCTCAAGCTACATGGGGCTAAGTACTCAGCTAAAATTTACCTAGGGTCCAGGGTCCAGTTGGTGGAAGTATTTGTTGCTCACAATGAATCTTCATCAATGTGTGTATTTGGTTTCAGGAATTTTTTTGGGTGCATCTGCTTTCATGAAGTTGTTTAAGTATGCGATAATCATTGCGTATTTGTTTTGTGAAGTTGCTTAAGTATAACATCTTCCTTTCTTTTCTATTAAATTCAGTCTTGTTGCCTGCTTACATTCTCTTTAATTGTTTTTGCACTCTTAAAGATGTAACAACTCTTGAAGTAGGTAGAACATTTGGATTGGAGTATCCATCAAGTTGATTTTGAAGCCATGCAAGTTGTCTTTTGCAAACTTCATATGAAATAAGTTCTTTCTGAAGTGTGCTTCCACATCTGCAACATCAAGTATATATACCCATCAGGAGTTATTAATTCAAATGTTTTTGCCTAATTGTTCAGGGAGCAAAAATGGAATGTTTAACTTATAGGAAAAAAGAATCAGATGAACTTGGGGAAGTCTGAAGGCTGGGTTATTAAAGTGCTTGAGCAAACTGAATTTAGAACATTTAGTTTCTGATGCTCTTGGTAGCTTTCTCTATTCAGTCTGGTGTCTCTCTTTTGTTACAGTTGTTTGTGTTGATATTTTCTTCACGGTTTTTGAAGAGGTAAAATGTAAATGGTATCTCTGTAATCATCCCCCAAAATTAAAAGAATACAATTTTTTTCACGTAGCACTTAGTTGCCAACAGTCTTTTGCCGCAACACTCTTCCTGTATGCATGCTCCGAATCTTCTTAGTAGTTTCTATGCTCATGAATCTAGTTTGCATCACTTGCATTGTGCTATTGAATGATTTGAAGCATCATGCTCAAGATTTTCTTGCATATAGAGGACTAATTTCAAGTTTGCTTTTTGAATGTTATTTGGAGTGGCGAAAAATATTCATGTAGCCAATCCTAATTTTTTTTTGATTTAGTCTTAGGTGTAGTTCTGCTGTTGTCTTGCATCTTATTTGGAAAATCCATTACATCTGCTGGGGAATTCTGAAGTATGCTGCCATACTGAAAAAAATATCAGTTTCCTTGATCGTATTCACCACTTGCTTGATGCATGTACATTATACTGGTGTCACTAAAAGTGTGATTGTTTTTCTCAGAAATGATACTGTCTGTTTGAGGCCTTTTTTATAATTTTCTTTAAAATGTACCAGCCTTGCATGTTCTCCAAATTATTTGGTATGCTTCATGTATGCCTGAAAAATCCTCGTGGGAGGTACTGTAACTGACATATTTTGGTTGTCCATCTATAGGAGAGTTGGAGAATGCAATTTCAGAATTGGAAGACAGCAACCGTAATTTGGCCATCATAAAAGTGGAGATAGATCTGGCAAAAGGAGCATCTTTTCCTGTCCTAAATCGACAAAACAAGCATGTCATCACTGATGAGACCAGAGACAAACAAGATGATTTGCAAGAGATGGAGTTGGCATTGAAGGAGTTATTGGTATTCACCTGCACTCTGTTTCCTCTAGCTTATGTCAATTGTGTTTCCTCAGGTAAAATGGTCTAAGCTAATTTGTGCACTTTTGCAGAACCAATCCTCTTCTCGACTACAGGAACTCAAACATCTTCATGAAGATAGGATAAAGATATTGAGACAGTTATCAAATTTGCAGGTTAATTCTTTTAATTGCTTTCTCTCGTGTTCAGATTGTCGTTCGTCTTATATGGTGTTTTCTGACTGCATTTTTTCTCGTACTCCTTTCACTAGTCCACAAATTGGGTTTTTGTTTGACAGAACAATCTGAAGAATGTGAAGGGAATTTGTTCTTCTCGACCATATCTCCTACTTAAAGATCAACTTGCAAAGTCGAAAGCAGATGTAGTTCAATATCAAGCTCTTTATGAGAAACTACAGGTTGTTACTGGTTGGTAGTTTCAATTTTAACTTCATTTTTGGTTTTTGAAGAATATTTATTCTCTATGCTGACTCATCAACTTAATTCAGGTTCAGAAAGACAGGCTTGCTTGGCGGGAAAAAGAAATTCACATGAAAAATGAATTGGCTGATGTTTTATGTCAATCTTCGATGGTGGCCAAGTCTAGAATAGCTAATCTGGAAACAGAGATAAAAAAATGCATCGAAGAAAAAAGGGTTATTGAAGCCAATCTGGAAGAAGCATCTAGAGATCCTGGTATTCCCTCATATCTCACGGCATCCTTGTCGCTTCTCTGTCTAAGTGTCACACGGCTATATTGATTTTATTAACTTCAGGTAGGAAAGAAATCATTGCGGAGTTCAAAGCTTTAGTTTCTTCATTTCCTGAGAAAATGGGTAACATGCAGAATCAGTTGCTTCAACACAAGGAGACTGCTTCTCACATTCATTGTTTGTGCGCTGATGTTCAATCTGTTACCGACATTCTCGATGGCAAGGTGGAATTTGTTATACTTGCAGTCATTTTCATAAAAATTATTTGTGATGCTGGTTAAAACCATTCCTTAAATATGTATAGGTTAAGGAATTCGACTTTTCGTCCTCCAGATCTGCTCAGCAAAATGCTGAAAAACAGAAATTACAAGCTGTGGTATGATTTTTGCTTTCTGTTACATAAGCGTATGGTGACAAATCCCATGTTATTTTAAGTTTACTTGTCAAACAATCGTTTTTCGAGACCTAAGGTGCAAATAAGAATGTTACTCTTATATGTGATTTGTACTTGCTGCTCTTGGCTCAAAAAAGAAGTTATTCTTATATCTCTTGTAGGTTATCTAACATTTATGGCCCAAACCCACTTTAACCCATTTACATGTAATGTAAGTGGACAATATATATAGCATTCTGATGCATTATCTAGGCATACTGTAAGATGATCTGCCAAATTCTCTTTTCATGATTTGTGGTTTTGTTTTCACACTGAAATAATTGTAATAGCTATCATATATCCCTGTAGCGGAGGTCTACCTTTTGACATGGACAGCAAAATTTCTGCAGATGAATTTTTAAAATAAGGATGAATTAATTCAAAGGTTTTGTAATTTTGATTTCTTGCTGTAGCTCCATGATTTAAAGGAAGCTGATTCAGACTTGAAGCTTTTTTTGGAAATGTATAGACGTGAATCGACTGATTCAAGGTTAGCATTTTATTAGAAAGTTCTCGTTCTGATTGTATTCAAATGACTTCTGGTTCTTTCCGTAATGTATCGGAAGATTAGAAACTTGACTTGGTTGTCCTATCTCAATTTGAAATCCGCTCGCCTCCGAAAAAACTTGTATACATTAATTAAGAATTAAAAGATTTGAATGTGAAAAAATCAGCGTATTCTCTTTTGCACTTGTATCAAAATATGAAGGCTTTTTGAGGTAAGAAATGCGAAACTGCTTAATTTTGTGATTACACCACTTATATATATGGCTGTGGAATCCATGTATTATTCAATATATTCGAAGAAAGAGTTTGTGAAATGGTAAATTTGCCACTCTACGAAATGCTCATGTTATCGCCTGTCTTCATAGATAGTTATATCTTTCAGGATGTGTTTTATTTTGTAACTGATACTTTTCTGAATCAACTATCTTGAAGTTGAGTGCTTTCTAACCTTGACATGTTGAGTGTAGGGAAGTTGGTGAAGCCAGAAGTTCTGAGATCAAGGCATGGGCACACGTTCAGAGCCTGAAGACTTCTCTTGATGAACACAATTTGGAGTTGCGAGTTAAAGCTGCCATTGAAGCTGAGGCAAAAGCCCAGCAAAGGTTAGCCGCTAGAGAAGCTGAGATTGCTGATCTGAGACAGAAGTTAGTGGCCTCTAGAAGGTCTGTTCCATATTATGCTGGTTTTTGTCTAGTATCCTACTATACTTTCTTGTCAGTTGAGACGTGGTTTAAGGTTGTGTTGCCACCTTCACATTTCCATCTTTGGCTGCTTTTGCAGCTTTTCCATTTGCTTCCCTTTTCTCTAAGTCTTTCTTCAACGAGTAATGAATGCTTGAATAATTGTTGCATTTTCTATGGTGTAATTCTGCTAAAGAATTGACATGATTTATCTGCTTCACAAGAGTTTATATCTTCTAATTACTGGTTACCGTTGGGAAATAACTCATTTTTTAACTTCAACTGGATAGTTTTTACCATTTCATATCACATGCTTTAATTTGAGATTTGATTTTTGGTATTAATGCACGTGTATATAAGATTTTGATCTCTTTTTGTTCCTATTTTGATGCCTGCTTTCTGTGTTTCATGGACACATGGGGTGACATGAGATCTTGAATGGACATAAATGGTTCATGGCTGTAGACCTAAGTTGAAGGAGCATAAAAGAAGTAACAACCATAAACTTCATTAATACAATTGGATTATGCAAGGCAAAGAGGATAGAAGAAAAAGGCCTTAATAAACAAGATGAGAACTGAAATAGAGAGATTAAGACTTGGGAGTAAAGTTATCAGGAGCTGATTTTGATGAGAAACTGGGAGTTGCAATATTGGATGGGGTGGGGTGGGGGGGCTTGGTGATCATGTGTTGACAATATGGAAGATTATTTCGTTTGCACCTTTTGGTCAACTGATCCTGTCAAAAAGTGCAGCGCATTAATTTGTAGCTTACCATCTTAAGTTCTACACTTGTGTATATTTCCTTTGATCCCGCATCTTTGATCCCAAAAATTACGTCTGTATACTAAAAATTTTGGGTCATTTCTATTGCTTGTGTCCAAATCATGTCTGATTTCTGTTATGGGCTGTCTGACACACGTTGAAGCTGTGTCAAGTGTGGGTTAGTGTCTGAGACTTAACAGCTAGATATCCTCTGTTCTGGCATTAATCGTATATGAAAGTTAAAGGAACAAGAATAATTACTGAAAACTTATATATAATGTCTGTCGGTATTCACTTTAGCAGGCCTAAGTTGCTTCTTTTGCCTTCTGATCATTCTGAATGATTTTTCATCTACGGGTATTTCAGGGAAAAATCCGGGCTTTCTGATGTCCTAAACTCCAAACAAGAGGAAACTGAGGCCTATCTTTCTGAGATTGAGGTTTCTATTCTACCAAATTTTTTCAGATGGATGACTCCTTATTTAAATTTCTGAAACTGGCCTAAAATTGTTGGCATTATTTTCCAACAGACCATTGGACAGGCATATGATGATATGCAGACTCAAAACCAAAAACTTTTGCAGGAAATCAGCGAAAGGGATGACTATAACATGAAGGTAAGTAATAAGCCAGGTTTCAACTAAATGGAAATATTTCCAACATCAATTTGTTTGATCTTAAATAAATTTTCATAGAAAGTTTTTCCATCTGTTTCTCCCATTTGATTAATGGATTGGCAATAGACCTTGAAGGCACCTCTTAAAGTTTCCAGTATGTCAAAACCTGTCCAGATAATTAGTTAGTAAAATAGTAAAATATTTGGAAGTGCAGGTACACATATCACGTGCCGTACATTTTGGACGACTTATGCTAGACATGGGTTGCAATGTAGAAAACTTGTTTATTGCATGGTTTATTGTAAGATCTTTTTGTGCATTGATTTCACCTGTTAATATTGTAATATTTTATTGTGCTTTGACTTCACTTGTTAATTTTGCTCTTTTTCTGAAATATGTATTTTGATTCACTTAGTTTTATACTTCTCTGCCTCTGTTATTTTTCATTGCCTGTCCCAAGCCCAGGTAATGGAGAAGGGTTGCATTAGGTTGACAGTTAATGTAAAATCTTTTCAACTCTTGTGATGAAGGTCCACTTAATTTTGTGCGTGACATAATATTGAATACTTCACTGAGTACCTGCTTCCTATCATGATGGTCTCAGTAATTGTTCAGTCTCAATAGCTGAATGTGCAATATACTAGATAGTCCAGTTACAGATTGTTTTCTATGTTTTCCATTGGCCTGTCTTAGCTGTTTCATGTCCTTTATTTTTATGTAGAATTGTCATACCATGTGATGTGACTGTCAGCGCCATTCATGTTGCCATGTCCATGTCTGTGCAAACATAACCTGGGGTTATGATGCAACTAAGATCTATGATTTTTACTGTGAAACTATTGTGATCTTGTTCTTTAGAATATGTTTCAAATGTATAGTTTTGCTTTTGCTGTTCAAACTCGTTTCAGCTGCTGAGAGTTTCTACATTCAACAATAACGACTTAGAGCAGTTTTTAGATTGCACTGCCCCCTGGCTGTTACCTTAGGTCATTTCTTATGTCTGTTGATACTGGATAATATTCAATGGCTTACAGAGTGCTTTGTCTCCTCCAGTTATTATTGAGAAGTCTTGTTCTCTTTACCTGGAGATTTATATACTTCTTTATTATCTCATACTCCTTAAATTGTTACCTGGTCATAATCAGCACCTTGATATTAGAGATCAATATCAGATATTTCCTACAATTCTTTAATTTGTTTTTGGTTAGGCTGAAATTTGAGCAACGTCATTGCTGGCAGTCACAAACTATGGTAACATATACAGTTCAGCATTTTAAACCTAGCTACACAGAATTGCATCTTTCTTTATTTGGAGAAAGATCCCCCAAACAAATATATATTGCTGTTCAGCGTTCGGCTGGCTGGTGGCCCTTTTAAGTGAAACAGGACTAGAGTCCTTGTATAATGTTTTTAACTTCCTGGGCACTATAGTGCCTGCAAAGCTCTGAGGAGAAAGCTCTTTAAGCTTCCTTTATTCATTTCCTGCCAATGTCTCAGGCCTTTTCTGAAGAATTATGGCCTGGCAGGCCTTCCTTCTCCAATGGCCTCTCTCAAGATGTCAATTTTGTAATGACATTCTTACCAAAACTAATCGATTACCTATTTGAATTTTGAAGATAGCAGGGTAAAGAAATTGCAAGGAAAAGGAAAACAGAATCCAAAATAGTTGAAATTCCAGGCTTGTTTAGTTGTCCAAGTATAACAGGAAGGAAAATGATTTTCCAAGTGGCTTTCATTTGGTTGGTTTTAAAAAGGAGAAGACAAATTTGAAATGCAATAAGAACATAGAGAAATTTAAGTGGGCTATGTTATTTTGTTGTGATTTCGCACTTCTCCTGATCTTTTACGTGGTACTTGTTCTCCTCAAAACAATAGAAGTGTTTGAGATTTTCCCAAAGTTGCTTTTCCTTGCTAATTTGTCTCACAAATATGGAAAACTTTGACATGGTATTGGCACTTGTTTTCCTCACTAGAATCCTCATTTCGAATAAAGCATCGTCTGTATTTATAAATGTTAACATGTGACAGAAGAATTCCTGTTATAATTTTGTCTGACTTGCTGTCTGATTTGTTGCTTATAAGAACTACAACAATCCTTGCTTGATTATCTCTCAACATCTTACCCCATGAAATAGGAAACAAAAATGGATTTTTGCATTCAGTTGATTTTAATTTTGTACTGTCATCTACTCAGTTTTACTTCTGTTGCAGCTTGTTTCTGAGGGGGTGCAATCAAGGCAGATGGGAGATGATCTACTTATGGAAAAGCGTTCCCTGGAGAGAGCCATACAACAAACCAAGACATCTGTTGATTTTTATGACACTAAAGCCCCTAGAATTGAAGATCAGGTAATATGAGTTGCTCAGTTGTATATAAACTTTCTAACACTGTCTAGTCGAATCAGAATCATCATTATTTATATTTAGAGCTTATTATTGTAATATTTCTTCACAGTTGAAAGTGTGCTTGGATCAAATTCAGAGACTCAAAGAAGATAGGGTCCAAAAGATAGCTACTTCAGAAAATACCCAAAAGAGATGGTTAGATGTGAGAAAGTCCTTGCAGCAATTGATTGACACTCTTGAAGAAGCACAAGACAAGGTTGACATGGGTCGAGTGGATCTTGCTGAGATGCAGATATTCCTAGAGAAAGAGAGGTGGCTGGAATTTCTCTATCGTGCTTTTCAGTTTTACATAAAACTAGAGAAAGAAACTTGGTTGAAGTCTCTATTGCACTTTTCCTGTTTTATGGAGGTGCTTTTTATTTCTTTGACTTGGTTTGTTTTTATGTTTCGTAATAACTTTTTATCCTTACTAGGTTTGAGAGAAAGAGAGTAGAAGAAGATCTAGAAACTTTGAAAAGGAAAGCTGAACAATTGAAGTCACTTGCTGACGGTTCATCTGAAGCTGAAAAGCTTAAGCAGGAACTCGGGGAATACAAGGAAATACTTAAGTGCAGTGTTTGCCTTGATAAGAGAAAAGAGGTATGGCTTCAATTCTCTTCATTATATCTTCCATTATCAACCACATTTTGAGTCGTGGAAGAAAGTAGCATATGCAACATTATTTTAAGTTGCGAGTGGGTCCAAGATTCAAATTACATGTTCCCCCCATCTTTTGTTGAGTAACTAGGTTGTTCAGGTCATTTGGTGTTTTGGGTTGGTAGGCCACTGGGTAATCATGCTCATAATGTTTTTTCCATATCTTTTTAAAAGCTTAAATTCTGTATATATCGGTGTACTCGCATGCTATATTCTTGAGCTTATTAATGTTATTTTCAGGTGGTTATCACAAAGTGCTTCCATCTGTTTTGCAATCCTTGTGTAAAAGGAATTCTTGAAACGCGTCACCGTAAGTGCCCAGTATGTTCAGCAAGTTTTGGGCCTAACGACGTCAAACCTGTATACATCTAACGGGGCATTGGAGCCTGGCAGTGATACTGCACTGCCTCAGATGCGTTTCAACTCAGGTAGCTGCCCTAGTGGATAATGTTCACATGTATTTAAGTACTTAGATATGCTGAGTCATAGCAGGAATTTCTATAAGCTCCTTTTCTATCATTGCAAATCAGCTTGGGATTACAAGGCTTCGGTTTAGATCATTGGTTTGACATTTCTCTTCATGTTTTCTATGGTGTCTATATTTACTGCTCAAGTGTTTAGATACTTTTAACTTGTTACTTCTCAGTGTTAGGCATGAAGTTTTGGGGGACCATTTCATTAATAAAAAATTCGACCCTAAGCCCCATAGAAGTTAAGATTTCTGGCCTTCGTGTGAGGGAGGACATTTCCAGACCTAAGGAGCATTAATTGATTTTGGCGCCACAGTTTTAGATGCCTTTGTGTACAGAAATATTTTCATATGAATGTTTTTTGATTGTTTTTAGTGTGATAGATGATTGAAATGTAACTTGGGATTCTTAATATATATATTCCCATTACATGAGATAGTAATTAGATTGGTTGTCTTTAGTCTTCTCTTAAGGTAATATTTTTTCCTCTTATGTCCTTGAATGTGTGATGTGGTTCCTCTTGCAGCAAGACTGAATCACCAACTTCTTGATTTGATTTATTCATACGGTTGCATTTAGACATTTGAAAAGTCAAAAGTTGCTTATGCTAAGAAATTACTTTTGGACTTATTTGAATAATTTTTTGGTAGTGCTTTCTAATAGCTTTTAGATGACGCTAGCTCAAGATTGTTTTCTCAAGAAGAATTTATATTTTATTTTTATGAGAAGTAGAAGCCTGCCAAACAGGCTCTTACTGCCCTCTATTTTGGGAAAGACTTCATTCACATTTGGTTCCAGCACTACAGTGGTACTAGATAACATTTTGGAAAAACTTTCATTTTGAAGAGTTTAATTGGGGCCGGGCCGGGCAGGGCAGGGCAAATGAAACCATGTATTAAATGTTGATATTCAAATAATAGAACTGGTCCCCGTTTTGTACTAATGATATGTCGCTTGTTTTGTGTGCTAGGCTATTAACCAGTTGGATCTTGATAGCAATGAACCAACTACTATTTAAGAATATGAAAACCATTTTCTTTGGCCCAACACCATTGACAAAGAAAGAGAAGGTGATGTATCCTGGTAGCAATATTTATGTTGATTCACAAATAATATCGTCGATTCTTTGTAATATTATCGAGTATTTAATTTGATCAAGAAATTATTGACTTATGCCAGAATATTAATTTGGATTAAAAATTGGTGAAGATTTCAATAATTAATATTCTATTTCAATTAGAAAAAACTTTTTTTTTTTTATCATTGAGGATACAATCCCTATTTATAATTAAAAAAATTGATTAGTTAACAACTAATCCTAATAAATGATTAAATCTAAGTAACAAAATTTAAAAATCCTAATCGAAATTAAAAATTTATTGATTCACAAAGAATAATGTAAAATATACATTGATTCTTTACATGAATACTAAATATTCGATTTGATCATTGAATTCATTCTATGTGCATTTTGTTCAGTGAGTATAGCGTATTGAGCAAGGCTGGTACCGCATATTTAAGGCATTGTTTGGATTGATGTGTTAAGTTAGTTGGCCAGTGCTTTCGTCTCATTTTCTGATGTCTATTCACAAATTAATTTGTTAATTAACCTTAAAAATAATTCAGCCATAACGAGTTGTGCAGTTGATTGGATTGCATGGTCTCGTCTCTCTTTCTTATTCTATCCAGTTGAGTCCTCGAAGTTTTCGACCATAGTGGAAGAAAGCACGACCACAACAGTCGAGTAGTGAGGATCTAAGCCTTCTCCATTAGAAGGTACCATGTTTTCGATTACAAAACACAATTCGAAGCCAAGCACAGAAGTGTTACTCTACTGGAAATTTCGTGGTTTTGAAAAGTAAACACTTGCACTATTAAAAGACAACCTCTGGACAAGACACTGGATTCTACAATCTTTGGGCGAAATTAGACTTGATATGTACAGCAGTTATATGTCCGGAATCTTGGCATTTTGCAAGCGTCCCAAATTAAATAAAAATTTATTTTCAGACAAAAATCTAGAGAATCACAAATTGTTTAGTTCTGTCTAATTCTATCTCCAATTCAACATGGTAAAAATTAAACGGAATATCAACTTAGTTTCAAACGTATACAAGCACACTCAAAACCGTGTTTGTCTACTTTAGGCAAATAATATAATTTGAGAATTAGTGTTTCTAAAAAGCGTCTAGGCATGAGGTTCGAGAAACTCTTTGTCTTGTTAACAGTTGACCACTTAATTCATGTCTAGTCACGTCAAGGTAATCTTTCAAAAAAAAAATTTTTTTAGTCCCCCATATTTTGGTTGTCCATCTATAGGAGAGTTGGAGAATGCAATTTCAGAATTGGAAGACAGCAACCGTAATTTGGCCATCATAAAAGTGGAGATAGATCTGGCAAAAGGAGCATCTTTTCCTGTCCTAAATCGACAAAACAAGCATGTCATCACTGATGAGACCAGAGACAAACAAGATGATTTGCAAGAGATGGAGTTGGCATTGAAGGAGTTATTGGTATTCACCTGCACTCTGTTTCCTCTAGCTTATGTCAATTGTGTTTCCTCAGGTAAAATGGTCTAAGCTAATTTGTGCACTTTTGCAGAACCAATCCTCTTCTCGACTACAGGAACTCAAACATCTTCATGAAGATAGGATAAAGATATTGAGACAGTTATCAAATTTGCAGGTTAATTCTTTTAATTGCTTTCTCTCGTGTTCAGATTGTCGTTCGTCTTATATGGTGTTTTCTGACTGCATTTTTTCTCGTACTCCTTTCACTAGTCCACAAATTGGGTTTTTGTTTGACAGAACAATCTGAAGAATGTGAAGGGAATTTGTTCTTCTCGACCATATCTCCTACTTAAAGATCAACTTGCAAAGTCGAAAGCAGATGTAGTTCAATATCAAGCTCTTTATGAGAAACTACAGGTTGTTACTGGTTGGTAGTTTCAATTTTAACTTCATTTTTGGTTTTTGAAGAATATTTATTCTCTATGCTGACTCATCAACTTAATTCAGGTTCAGAAAGACAGGCTTGCTTGGCGGGAAAAAGAAATTCACATGAAAAATGAATTGGCTGATGTTTTATGTCAATCTTCGATGGTGGCCAAGTCTAGAATAGCTAATCTGGAAACAGAGATAAAAAAATGCATCGAAGAAAAAAGGGTTATTGAAGCCAATCTGGAAGAAGCATCTAGAGATCCTGGTATTCCCTCATATCTCACGGCATCCTTGTCGCTTCTCTGTCTAAGTGTCACACGGCTATATTGATTTTATTAACTTCAGGTAGGAAAGAAATCATTGCGGAGTTCAAAGCTTTAGTTTCTTCATTTCCTGAGAAAATGGGTAACATGCAGAATCAGTTGCTTCAACACAAGGAGACTGCTTCTCACATTCATTGTTTGTGCGCTGATGTTCAATCTGTTACCGACATTCTCGATGGCAAGGTGGAATTTGTTATACTTGCAGTCATTTTCATAAAAATTATTTGTGATGCTGGTTAAAACCATTCCTTAAATATGTATAGGTTAAGGAATTCGACTTTTCGTCCTCCAGATCTGCTCAGCAAAATGCTGAAAAACAGAAATTACAAGCTGTGGTATGATTTTTGCTTTCTGTTACATAAGCGTATGGTGACAAATCCCATGTTATTTTAAGTTTACTTGTCAAACAATCGTTTTTCGAGACCTAAGGTGCAAATAAGAATGTTACTCTTATATGTGATTTGTACTTGCTGCTCTTGGCTCAAAAAAGAAGTTATTCTTATATCTCTTGTAGGTTATCTAACATTTATGGCCCAAACCCACTTTAACCCATTTACATGTAATGTAAGTGGACAATATATATAGCATTCTGATGCATTATCTAGGCATACTGTAAGATGATCTGCCAAATTCTCTTTTCATGATTTGTGGTTTTGTTTTCACACTGAAATAATTGTAATAGCTATCATATATCCCTGTAGCGGAGGTCTACCTTTTGACATGGACAGCAAAATTTCTGCAGATGAATTTTTAAAATAAGGATGAATTAATTCAAAGGTTTTGTAATTTTGATTTCTTGCTGTAGCTCCATGATTTAAAGGAAGCTGATTCAGACTTGAAGCTTTTTTTGGAAATGTATAGACGTGAATCGACTGATTCAAGGTTAGCATTTTATTAGAAAGTTCTCGTTCTGATTGTATTCAAATGACTTCTGGTTCTTTCCGTAATGTATCGGAAGATTAGAAACTTGACTTGGTTGTCCTATCTCAATTTGAAATCCGCTCGCCTCCGAAAAAACTTGTATACATTAATTAAGAATTAAAAGATTTGAATGTGAAAAAATCAGCGTATTCTCTTTTGCACTTGTATCAAAATATGAAGGCTTTTTGAGGTAAGAAATGCGAAACTGCTTAATTTTGTGATTACACCACTTATATATATGGCTGTGGAATCCATGTATTATTCAATATATTCGAAGAAAGAGTTTGTGAAATGGTAAATTTGCCACTCTACGAAATGCTCATGTTATCGCCTGTCTTCATAGATAGTTATATCTTTCAGGATGTGTTTTATTTTGTAACTGATACTTTTCTGAATCAACTATCTTGAAGTTGAGTGCTTTCTAACCTTGACATGTTGAGTGTAGGGAAGTTGGTGAAGCCAGAAGTTCTGAGATCAAGGCATGGGCACACGTTCAGAGCCTGAAGACTTCTCTTGATGAACACAATTTGGAGTTGCGAGTTAAAGCTGCCATTGAAGCTGAGGCAAAAGCCCAGCAAAGGTTAGCCGCTAGAGAAGCTGAGATTGCTGATCTGAGACAGAAGTTAGTGGCCTCTAGAAGGTCTGTTCCATATTATGCTGGTTTTTGTCTAGTATCCTACTATACTTTCTTGTCAGTTGAGACGTGGTTTAAGGTTGTGTTGCCACCTTCACATTTCCATCTTTGGCTGCTTTTGCAGCTTTTCCATTTGCTTCCCTTTTCTCTAAGTCTTTCTTCAACGAGTAATGAATGCTTGAATAATTGTTGCATTTTCTATGGTGTAATTCTGCTAAAGAATTGACATGATTTATCTGCTTCACAAGAGTTTATATCTTCTAATTACTGGTTACCGTTGGGAAATAACTCATTTTTTAACTTCAACTGGATAGTTTTTACCATTTCATATCACATGCTTTAATTTGAGATTTGATTTTTGGTATTAATGCACGTGTATATAAGATTTTGATCTCTTTTTGTTCCTATTTTGATGCCTGCTTTCTGTGTTTCATGGACACATGGGGTGACATGAGATCTTGAATGGACATAAATGGTTCATGGCTGTAGACCTAAGTTGAAGGAGCATAAAAGAAGTAACAACCATAAACTTCATTAATACAATTGGATTATGCAAGGCAAAGAGGATAGAAGAAAAAGGCCTTAATAAACAAGATGAGAACTGAAATAGAGAGATTAAGACTTGGGAGTAAAGTTATCAGGAGCTGATTTTGATGAGAAACTGGGAGTTGCAATATTGGATGGGGTGGGGTGGGGGGGCTTGGTGATCATGTGTTGACAATATGGAAGATTATTTCGTTTGCACCTTTTGGTCAACTGATCCTGTCAAAAAGTGCAGCGCATTAATTTGTAGCTTACCATCTTAAGTTCTACACTTGTGTATATTTCCTTTGATCCCGCATCTTTGATCCCAAAAATTACGTCTGTATACTAAAAATTTTGGGTCATTTCTATTGCTTGTGTCCAAATCATGTCTGATTTCTGTTATGGGCTGTCTGACACACGTTGAAGCTGTGTCAAGTGTGGGTTAGTGTCTGAGACTTAACAGCTAGATATCCTCTGTTCTGGCATTAATCGTATATGAAAGTTAAAGGAACAAGAATAATTACTGAAAACTTATATATAATGTCTGTCGGTATTCACTTTAGCAGGCCTAAGTTGCTTCTTTTGCCTTCTGATCATTCTGAATGATTTTTCATCTACGGGTATTTCAGGGAAAAATCCGGGCTTTCTGATGTCCTAAACTCCAAACAAGAGGAAACTGAGGCCTATCTTTCTGAGATTGAGGTTTCTATTCTACCAAATTTTTTCAGATGGATGACTCCTTATTTAAATTTCTGAAACTGGCCTAAAATTGTTGGCATTATTTTCCAACAGACCATTGGACAGGCATATGATGATATGCAGACTCAAAACCAAAAACTTTTGCAGGAAATCAGCGAAAGGGATGACTATAACATGAAGGTAAGTAATAAGCCAGGTTTCAACTAAATGGAAATATTTCCAACATCAATTTGTTTGATCTTAAATAAATTTTCATAGAAAGTTTTTCCATCTGTTTCTCCCATTTGATTAATGGATTGGCAATAGACCTTGAAGGCACCTCTTAAAGTTTCCAGTATGTCAAAACCTGTCCAGATAATTAGTTAGTAAAATAGTAAAATATTTGGAAGTGCAGGTACACATATCACGTGCCGTACATTTTGGACGACTTATGCTAGACATGGGTTGCAATGTAGAAAACTTGTTTATTGCATGGTTTATTGTAAGATCTTTTTGTGCATTGATTTCACCTGTTAATATTGTAATATTTTATTGTGCTTTGACTTCACTTGTTAATTTTGCTCTTTTTCTGAAATATGTATTTTGATTCACTTAGTTTTATACTTCTCTGCCTCTGTTATTTTTCATTGCCTGTCCCAAGCCCAGGTAATGGAGAAGGGTTGCATTAGGTTGACAGTTAATGTAAAATCTTTTCAACTCTTGTGATGAAGGTCCACTTAATTTTGTGCGTGACATAATATTGAATACTTCACTGAGTACCTGCTTCCTATCATGATGGTCTCAGTAATTGTTCAGTCTCAATAGCTGAATGTGCAATATACTAGATAGTCCAGTTACAGATTGTTTTCTATGTTTTCCATTGGCCTGTCTTAGCTGTTTCATGTCCTTTATTTTTATGTAGAATTGTCATACCATGTGATGTGACTGTCAGCGCCATTCATGTTGCCATGTCCATGTCTGTGCAAACATAACCTGGGGTTATGATGCAACTAAGATCTATGATTTTTACTGTGAAACTATTGTGATCTTGTTCTTTAGAATATGTTTCAAATGTATAGTTTTGCTTTTGCTGTTCAAACTCGTTTCAGCTGCTGAGAGTTTCTACATTCAACAATAACGACTTAGAGCAGTTTTTAGATTGCACTGCCCCCTGGCTGTTACCTTAGGTCATTTCTTATGTCTGTTGATACTGGATAATATTCAATGGCTTACAGAGTGCTTTGTCTCCTCCAGTTATTATTGAGAAGTCTTGTTCTCTTTACCTGGAGATTTATATACTTCTTTATTATCTCATACTCCTTAAATTGTTACCTGGTCATAATCAGCACCTTGATATTAGAGATCAATATCAGATATTTCCTACAATTCTTTAATTTGTTTTTGGTTAGGCTGAAATTTGAGCAACGTCATTGCTGGCAGTCACAAACTATGGTAACATATACAGTTCAGCATTTTAAACCTAGCTACACAGAATTGCATCTTTCTTTATTTGGAGAAAGATCCCCCAAACAAATATATATTGCTGTTCAGCGTTCGGCTGGCTGGTGGCCCTTTTAAGTGAAACAGGACTAGAGTCCTTGTATAATGTTTTTAACTTCCTGGGCACTATAGTGCCTGCAAAGCTCTGAGGAGAAAGCTCTTTAAGCTTCCTTTATTCATTTCCTGCCAATGTCTCAGGCCTTTTCTGAAGAATTATGGCCTGGCAGGCCTTCCTTCTCCAATGGCCTCTCTCAAGATGTCAATTTTGTAATGACATTCTTACCAAAACTAATCGATTACCTATTTGAATTTTGAAGATAGCAGGGTAAAGAAATTGCAAGGAAAAGGAAAACAGAATCCAAAATAGTTGAAATTCCAGGCTTGTTTAGTTGTCCAAGTATAACAGGAAGGAAAATGATTTTCCAAGTGGCTTTCATTTGGTTGGTTTTAAAAAGGAGAAGACAAATTTGAAATGCAATAAGAACATAGAGAAATTTAAGTGGGCTATGTTATTTTGTTGTGATTTCGCACTTCTCCTGATCTTTTACGTGGTACTTGTTCTCCTCAAAACAATAGAAGTGTTTGAGATTTTCCCAAAGTTGCTTTTCCTTGCTAATTTGTCTCACAAATATGGAAAACTTTGACATGGTATTGGCACTTGTTTTCCTCACTAGAATCCTCATTTCGAATAAAGCATCGTCTGTATTTATAAATGTTAACATGTGACAGAAGAATTCCTGTTATAATTTTGTCTGACTTGCTGTCTGATTTGTTGCTTATAAGAACTACAACAATCCTTGCTTGATTATCTCTCAACATCTTACCCCATGAAATAGGAAACAAAAATGGATTTTTGCATTCAGTTGATTTTAATTTTGTACTGTCATCTACTCAGTTTTACTTCTGTTGCAGCTTGTTTCTGAGGGGGTGCAATCAAGGCAGATGGGAGATGATCTACTTATGGAAAAGCGTTCCCTGGAGAGAGCCATACAACAAACCAAGACATCTGTTGATTTTTATGACACTAAAGCCCCTAGAATTGAAGATCAGGTAATATGAGTTGCTCAGTTGTATATAAACTTTCTAACACTGTCTAGTCGAATCAGAATCATCATTATTTATATTTAGAGCTTATTATTGTAATATTTCTTCACAGTTGAAAGTGTGCTTGGATCAAATTCAGAGACTCAAAGAAGATAGGGTCCAAAAGATAGCTACTTCAGAAAATACCCAAAAGAGATGGTTAGATGTGAGAAAGTCCTTGCAGCAATTGATTGACACTCTTGAAGAAGCACAAGACAAGGTTGACATGGGTCGAGTGGATCTTGCTGAGATGCAGATATTCCTAGAGAAAGAGAGGTGGCTGGAATTTCTCTATCGTGCTTTTCAGTTTTACATAAAACTAGAGAAAGAAACTTGGTTGAAGTCTCTATTGCACTTTTCCTGTTTTATGGAGGTGCTTTTTATTTCTTTGACTTGGTTTGTTTTTATGTTTCGTAATAACTTTTTATCCTTACTAGGTTTGAGAGAAAGAGAGTAGAAGAAGATCTAGAAACTTTGAAAAGGAAAGCTGAACAATTGAAGTCACTTGCTGACGGTTCATCTGAAGCTGAAAAGCTTAAGCAGGAACTCGGGGAATACAAGGAAATACTTAAGTGCAGTGTTTGCCTTGATAAGAGAAAAGAGGTATGGCTTCAATTCTCTTCATTATATCTTCCATTATCAACCACATTTTGAGTCGTGGAAGAAAGTAGCATATGCAACATTATTTTAAGTTGCGAGTGGGTCCAAGATTCAAATTACATGTTCCCCCCATCTTTTGTTGAGTAACTAGGTTGTTCAGGTCATTTGGTGTTTTGGGTTGGTAGGCCACTGGGTAATCATGCTCATAATGTTTTTTCCATATCTTTTTAAAAGCTTAAATTCTGTATATATCGGTGTACTCGCATGCTATATTCTTGAGCTTATTAATGTTATTTTCAGGTGGTTATCACAAAGTGCTTCCATCTGTTTTGCAATCCTTGTGTAAAAGGAATTCTTGAAACGCGTCACCGTAAGTGCCCAGTATGTTCAGCAAGTTTTGGGCCTAACGACGTCAAACCTGTATACATCTAACGGGGCATTGGAGCCTGGCAGTGATACTGCACTGCCTCAGATGCGTTTCAACTCAGGTAGCTGCCCTAGTGGATAATGTTCACATGTATTTAAGTACTTAGATATGCTGAGACATAGCAGGAATTTCTATAAGCTCCTTTTCTATCATTGCAAATCAGCTTGGGATTACAAGGCTTCGGTTTAGATCATTGGTTTGACATTTCTCTTCATGTTTTCTATGGTGTCTATATTTACTGCTCAAGTGTTTAGATACTTTTAACTTGTTACTTCTCAGTGTTAGGCATGAAGTTTTGGGGGACCATTTCATTAATAAAAAATTCGACCCTAAGCCCCATAGAAGTTAAGATTTCTGGCCTTCGTGTGAGGGAGGACATTTCCAGACCTAAGGAGCATTAATTGATTTTGGCGCCACAGTTTTAGATGCCTTTGTGTACAGAAATATTTTCATATGAATGTTTTTTGATTGTTTTTAGTGTGATAGATGATTGAAATGTAACTTGGGATTCTTAATATATATATTCCCATTACATGAGATAGTAATTAGATTGGTTGTCTTTAGTCTTCTCTTAAGGTAATATTTTTTCCTCTTATGTCCTTGAATGTGTGATGTGGTTCCTCTTGCAGCAAGACTGAATCACCAACTTCTTGATTTGATTTATTCATACGGTTGCATTTAGACATTTGAAAAGTCAAAAGTTGCTTATGCTAAGAAATTACTTTTGGACTTATTTGAATAATTTTTTGGTAGTGCTTTCTAATAGCTTTTAGATGACGCTAGCTCAAGATTGTTTTCTCAAGAAGAATTTATATTTTATTTTTATGAGAAGTAGAAGCCTGCCAAACAGGCTCTTACTGCCCTCTATTTTGGGAAAGACTTCATTCACATTTGGTTCCAGCACTACAGTGGTACTAGATAACATTTTGGAAAAACTTTCATTTTGAAGAGTTTAATTGGGGCCGGGCCGGGCAGGGCAGGGCAAATGAAACCATGTATTAAATGTTGATATTCAAATAATAGAACTGGTCCCCGTTTTGTACTAATGATATGTCGCTTGTTTTGTGTGCTAGGCTATTAACCAGTTGGATCTTGATAGCAATGAACCAACTACTATTTAAGAATATGAAAACCATTTTCTTTGGCCCAACACCATTGACAAAGAAAGAGAAGGTGATGTATCCTGGTAGCAATATTTATGTTGATTCACAAATAATATCGTCGATTCTTTGTAATATTATCGAGTATTTAATTTGATCAAGAAATTATTGACTTATGCCAGAATATTAATTTGGATTAAAAATTGGTGAAGATTTCAATAATTAATATTCTATTTCAATTAGAAAAAACTTTTTTTTTTTTATCATTGAGGATACAATCCCTATTTATAATTAAAAAAATTGATTAGTTAACAACTAATCCTAATAAATGATTAAATCTAAGTAACAAAATTTAAAAATCCTAATCGAAATTAAAAATTTATTGATTCACAAAGAATAATGTAAAATATACATTGATTCTTTACATGAATACTAAATATTCGATTTGATCATTGAATTCATTCTATGTGCATTTTGTTCAGTGAGTATAGCGTATTGAGCAAGGCTGGTACCGCATATTTAAGGCATTGTTTGGATTGATGTGTTAAGTTAGTTGGCCAGTGCTTTCGTCTCATTTTCTGATGTCTATTCACAAATTAATTTGTTAATTAACCTTAAAAATAATTCAGCCATAACGAGTTGTGCAGTTGATTGGATTGCATGGTCTCGTCTCTCTTTCTTATTCTATCCAGTTGAGTGCTCGAAGTTTTCGACCATGGTGGAAGAAAGCACGTCCACAACAGACGAGTAGTGAGGATCTAAGCCTTCTCCATTAGAAGGTACCATGTTTTCGATTACAAAACACAATTCGAAGCCAAGCACAGAAGTGTTACTCTACTGGAAATTTCGTGGTTTTGAAAAAGTAAACACTTGCACTATTAAAAGACAACCTCTGGACAAGACACTGGATTCTACAATCTTTGGGCGAAATTAGACTTGCTATGTACAGCAGTTATATGTCTGGAATCTTGGCATTTTGCAAGTGTCCCAAACTAAATAAAAAATTCTTTTCAGACAAAAATCTAGAGAATCACAAATTGTTTAGTTCTGTCCAATTCTATCTCCAATTCAACATAGTAAAACTTAAACGGAACGGAATATCAACTTAGTTTCAAACCTATAGAACCACACTCAAAACCCTTTTTGTCTACTTTAGGCAAATATTATAATTTGAGAATTAGTGTTTCTAAAAAGCGTCTAGGCACGAGGTTCGAGAAACGCTTTGTCTTGTTAATGGTTGACCACTTAATCGTGTCTAGTCACGGCCATGGTAATTTTTCAATTTTTTTCAGTCACAAAAAAAAAAAACCTTTCATTTAACTTTAATTTATTAACTTTTTATTATTTATTTATTTTTCTTTTTTAAAAAAGGCTTTTATTTGACTTTAGTTTCAAATTTTTAAAAGGCTTTATCTGTATAACAGATAGAAATGACTTTATCCGATAAAGATTGGATAAAATTTAAGTTATGGTGCTATCTATATTATTTAATTATAATTTTGAGATTCATCGTTTTATTGGAAATTTTGAAACTTTGTGTAAAGTTTCTATAAATCCGTTGTGTAGAACTTATCTAGTTGAAAATTGAAATTATGAAAAATAATCTAACTTTTGCATTTCGAAAATTTGAAAATTGCACAATTGATTAACTGTAGGAATTATCAAGTAGATATAGTATTTTATAATTTTAGATATTTGGTATATATTATTTTAATTATCAAATAACTTTTAAAATGATTAAGTACTTAAAATAATAATAAAAATAGATAACACTTTTTTACGCTTAGGTTCGTAAAACTTGAAGGTTGCCCTCCACACTTTTGTTACACTTAGCGCTAAACTTTGTTAATCAAAGTGTGTGGATCCCATATACTTTTTGTTTTGTGTAGTTTCACTTTATTTAAAATTATGATGCCCAAAGAAGTTTTGCCCAATGAAGCATTGAAATGTGGCTAAATGATTGGGGATAGACTTCATGGAGATGGTGATGGAAAGCCCACTTCCTCATCAATAAATAGTGGGTCTAAAGTTTTTACTTGCTTAACATTTCTTTAAGATTCAGATTTATTTTTGTCTATTTGTTTATCGGTTCCCGTATTATTATTTTTTTAAAATTATGTTTTATTTTAGTAAAATTATATATATGTAAAACATTTTGGTGTATAAGTATTCATAAAAGGATATTTTACAAATTATTTTATTTATGCAGTTTTGTTCTAACTATTAATCAGTTGAACTTCCATTTCGCAGCCGGTGATGTTCTTCAATCAAATTTTGACACGTCACTATCATTTTGAAAGAAAATAAGAATTTTTTTAATTTTATTTTACAACTAATAGTTAGAAATCCACGTGATGACTTCTTCAAGGACCTTTTTCGAACCAACAAAATGGAAATTTCTTGTACGATATTCCTGAAAGCATCTCCAATGCAACGAAGTCCATAGTTGTACATGTGACAAACAAAATGGAGGATGGAGAGGAGCATATTCAATGAGGTTGTGAATTGCACTAATCGTGGGTTTCATGTACAAGAGAAATGATATAGAGCAAGAATGTAGAAAATTATAATAATTAAATGGATGATGTCTAGCACACTCTCACCAGACATCTTTAACCTTTTTCCTTACCATACAAGCATTTTGGGATGATGTGAGAAACTTTTTGAGATAACTCACAACTCCATTGAAGATGCTCTAAATACTACTTACTCGAATTACGAGGATAAGGGTACAAATGCTGCCAAGCGATTTGTGGTGTGACGATAGTCGAGGTAGTGCCAGAAATATCATTAAAGTTAGGAATAGGATTGAACAAATTTTGTCTACTGTCTCTTGTGACCATAAATTGTACAAGGAAATGCCCAATGTATAAGACATTTTCTCACAAAGGTTTTATAGGGAAGACATATGGGGGTGGGCCCCATGTGAAATTTTTATTGAGGTTGGTCCCACTAATGCGTGTATTACGTGAAATGCCTATATGTTTTTCCTTTGTAGGTGGGCCATGTGTGAAATCTAGTGCCTATATTTCATTTAACTAAGAAGTTATATATTAATCCCTTCAATATAAAACTACTACATTTTCATCATTAGAACCAATATATATATATATATATATATATATATAAGTTATTAGCTCTCATAAACATCACCATCAGCAGAATCCAACAAAAATGTCGACAAAATTTCCAAAACTATATATTCGGTTAACTAAAATCTAATCACTAACACAAGTCTATAATAATCTTCATCATTTTCCTCAATTCAGAAGTAATATACTATCAGTTATACTTTAAAAAAAAAATTACAAATTGGATACTGTAATCATAAAAACAATATTCATCTATAATTCAAAAATCATAATCAGTTAAAATTAACATATTACCTTATTTTAGTTACTTCTGTGTTATGCATCTTCAAAGTCTGGCTAGGTGATGTAAAGGATTGAGGAAGAATTTTGCAAAAAATATGCAATTTAGACTAGCAATATATATACAGTGTTCTAGAAGGTGAGCCTAGGTGATGCCTTGACGCGATGTGCGACGGAAATGCCAAGCTTGGCGCCTTATTTAGCGGTCAACGATTGCCGTTGACCGCTAATGTATCATCCATCTTCTTCTCTCTTCATTTTTTTTTTAAAGTTAAAATTTAAAAGCTGATTTCATCACTTCATCTGCCTTAGATTCAAAACTGTGAGCTAACCCCAAAAACCTGTCCTCAGTTCAAATTGCAAGCTGAATTGACTGATATTGAAAAAGCAGCGGACTAGTTACAGGTAAAATGCTAATTGGACCCAAAGCTAGTTGGTTCTTCCCAAAATGCGTTGAGGCGCAGCAGTTGATTGGACATCTAGGGGTAAATCACTGTTTCGTTGTGGGTTGTGAGAGCGATACCAAATCTCAAATTCGGACATTTCATTTCTTTCAATTATGTGGTTTTTGTTGGAATTTGACAACCAACAAGGAATCCACTTTGCTTATTCCAATTATTTCCAATTATTGGATAATTGGCTAAAGCGAAATTTTGTAACTTACTTACATAGACTTTTAATGATTACATTACCGAAAAAGAAATACAGAAGGTTATATCAAATTCACAATTGACATATTGTTTCTTTTTTTCTCAGAAATTTTTGGTGAAGTTGAATGTGTGAACCATTGAAAAAATTACAGAATGATTAAGAAAAATATAGATAAAAGTTCAATTTTTGGGAATAAACGTGATTTTTTTTTTTGGCAAAGGGATGAATTAATTTTTGAGAGTAGCAGTACCACTAGTATTATAATACTAGTCTATGTGACGTTAAATTTCATCGAATAATAGGTAAACTCAACTAAGTCACTTAATTCTAACTTTCATTAAGCTTGTTACATAGTGTCGCCTCAGCTGGTGTTATAGCACTAGTGGTGCTACATAACATTATTTTGTTGAGAATGGTAGTTCATAATAATGAGAAATCTACAAGTATTGTATTTTTATATTTATTCTTTTCCTTTTGCTTATTTATGCTAACAGTGTAATTACAAATTTTCAATATTTTAGTATATGCATAATTTTTTGCTTTTGCATATTTATTGGGTATAGTTTTCGAAAGAGCTATATTTCTCTAGGTTGGAATAGACTTTTTTTCCCCTTTTAAATTAAGTACCCCTTTAATTTTATATAAAAGAAAATCGTTATATATAACGCATTACGCCCCTATTTGATTTAGATAAAAATTAATTTTTATTAAATTTTTATACAAATTGATGGAACATGTGGGTTCGTCGCTAGTAGAATATAAATGAATGAAAATTTCTGTTTTGAATAAGAATTTTATATCATCCCATCAAGAAATGTACGTACCAAGAGAGAGAGGAATCCGAAAATAGAAAGTATAAAATGATATGTACCATAACAATTTAAGCAAACCATGAACAAGTTAAAGGACATCTAAATGTAGCAAACTGAACTAATTCCAAAATGACAAGGATTATACTACTTGTACATAAAAATGATAAATAAGAAATTATATGAAATAATGTGGAAGAAAAAGATTGGATAAAAAAATTGACTGCATTTTAAATTGACAAATAGTAGAGTGACATGTGACATTATGTAACCTATCATGTAAAGTTTGATGTTCATGTAGCAAAGTCCAAACGACAAACCTTGCATTAAATTTTTATTCATCTTCACATATTTACTCTTAACTTTCGTATTTATATTTCTATACTTTTACTGCCTCACCCTGGGGTTGGGGGATGCACTTCATTTTCTATTATCAATTACTCAGTGTGCCGTGGCCGTTGAACGGGGTGAATTATATCCAGTAGCAGTCCCATGGAAATGGATCCTCAAACAGGAATTCTATTTCGGCGGCCGCTCCAGCCAGCTTCCATGAAGAAGCACAGTAAGAAAATCCAACATTACGATCTGTTTCGTTTAAACAAAGATCTGGGAGGTCGAAAAATGTGTCGTCATCATCAAGTGTTGAGCAAGAATTGGATGGTTCTACATTTGTTGAAGAATGAGAACTGGGGAGCGGCTTGGCTAGACTCATCAGCTCATGTGCTTCAGCTCCGAATTCTCCGCTTTTAATTTGTTCAGGACATACGGTGGTTGCAGCTTTAGCGGCTGCAGCTTGGATGTCTTTATGTGAAGTCGTGGTGGGGCGTGGAAGTTGATGAGCCAAATGAGGGAAATTGAGATGAGCTGAGTAGCCTTTAATGGCTAAAGCCGCCACGTCGTGAGCTAGTGCCGCCATCTCCGCCGTGCGATATGTTCCGAGCCATATTCTTGATTTCTTCCTCGGCTCTCGAATTTCAGACACCCATTTCCCCCAAATCCGCTTTCTCACACCACGATAACTAATCGGATTATTGAACTCTTTTAGGTTCTTTCTACCCTTTTTATCATTAGTAAATGAGTAGTGTGAAGGAGAAAGAGTCGAACCGTCGGATAAGGTGGATGAAATTTTGGTGAGCGTGGTGGTGCTGATGGTGGTGGAGGAGGAGGAGGAAAGGTAGTTAGGAGGTAGACTCTTGAGATTGATATTTTTTTCCATATGATACGATGTCTAGTGTAGAGGAGCAGCTAAAAATTAAAGAGAATGTGAAATATGATACATGTATAAAATAGGGAAGTAGGTTTTATAATAAGATTCTTTCAAGATTAATATTTTATTTTAAAATAAATAAGCATGAGACGACATTTAAGCTATTTTGTACGCACCATTTGAATAATGGACTTTGGCATGTGCTTTGAGATCATCTTGTAACCATATCCACCTTTTACTCTTCCTAATTAGTCTATCTGTGACGTTGATATGCATACATATATATAGACACATACGTACGAGACAGAGCACATTGATAATTAAGAGCATACCAACTCATCGTTGGTCATATATAAATTGAAATTATTCAAATTTTCTATTTTTTTTCTTAATTTGAAATTATTGTGAGTGGCCTGTGGCCCATTTGATGTAGATTTTTTGAGGATAATTTTTGTAAGAATTACTTTTTTTTTGAAGAACGAGTGTTTAAAAAGTAGAGATAAGTTATATGATTAATTACAAAATTATTTTACTAAAAGAATGTCTAGTTGAAATGAATTTAAAAAAAAATAAATTGTACCAAATATGGATGAAGTATTGAAGTTGAGATAAATTGCCCCACTTATTAGTGCTTCTCATTTATTCATTTTAGGCTTTTAAATTTGGATTTCTTAATCCTAGAGGACCTAGACCTTTACTAAAATTAGTTCTTTAAGATTGCTGTCACAAAACAAAAAATAATAAAAAAAATAAAAATAAAATAAAATAAAATAAAAAATTGTTAAAAAGTCAAAAAGTGTTATGAAATTAAAAGAATAAGATAGAAATATAAGTGTGTGTTTGATTACATTTATTTTTCATGAAAAATATCAGTTTTTCACCCAAATTCTCACTTTTAGTGTTTGATTGTTATTTTTTTTTCTATTGAAAATATTTTCCAACTTTTGAAAATATGTCTAATATTCTTTATTTTTAAGGAAAATATTTTCTTTTGGGGGAGGTGGTTTTTGTTTTCCTCAAAACAAGGAAAATATTTTCTTTTCTATGTGATATTTTTCATGTCAATCAAACACGTTCTAAGAGTCAAAATAAAATTCAATTTTATTGTAACGATACACCATATTCATAGGAATGATAGTTACAAATTGATCAGGATATAAACTTCTAGAATATGTAAGACTTATTTTAAATATCATGATAAGAATAAATATTAATCAATAATTATCTATTATTTTACAACATTCTACTCGTGATGACTATTTACACAACTGACTCAATAAAAATCTTGTTTGACAAAAATCGAGCGAGATAAAGATGTCAAATGAAGTACAGTTAATTGTTAAAAATTAGGAGTATATAGTGAAGTTTTACCTTGGATTCCCAAAGAAAATCATTTTTCACACTTGTAATGAAGGATACAATCTTGCTTCTGAGGGTAATATAACTATACGTGCGGCTAGCAAATGGAGTTCGGAAACTAACTACTGCTTGTGGAAAGAGATCATATTTTGTGCTTGGGAGTCCTTGATGATTAAATAAATCAAGATTTTACCACGATTGCAACTTTAGAGAGACGCGAAAGCAAAAGTCTATGGTGCTGCTTTTGTGACCGGATATGGGAAAGTTAGAGTATCACAAGAGAGATTGTCACGAATCCATGGATTTGGAGTTACGAATGTGTAGTTGGGGCACATATTATTATGTTTTCAAGCTTATGCTTTTTGACAGCTATTTGGCATTTGATCTATCGAGATTTAGAAATATTTTGTGACGAACGTACGGAGAAACCTCATTTGAATTTGCTCAAGATCTTTGAAATTAATTTATTTCTCTCAAGGGTGGCTTGCTTTGTTTTTTAGAATAGTATAAATTCCTAAATTAAGACCATTTTCGAGCAGATCTTACACACAGGACCGCTTCAACTGTTTGTTTATGTAATGAATGCGTGGGATATGAAGTCTAACTAATTGAAAGTGCCTGGAAAAATGCGAACTCATTGAAATTTACCTGGAAAGTCCAATGTGATAAACCTAAGCAAAGGAAAAATAAGATAACTAGTATCCTGATGTTGATCACTGAAGATCCTTAAATCAATTCGTTCCTATTTCATGTACCAATTTTTTGCATTTAGATAGCAATCCTTTTGTAAATAAATCATTCATATTATCACATGCTACTCACAATTGATCACATTCCTTGTTTGTCACAAAATAGATAAAATTAAATTGGAATCCTACGGTCAAGTAAAAGTTCTACTTTCTTTACTTCCAATTACTACTATAGTTTCAAAAAGGTAATATCGGTAAAAATAATTGATAAAAACAAATTTCAATTTTCCGTATGGTTATAAACTTCTCATGTGGATTTTCCTAAATGGGATGGAGACATAGATACATGCAAACATTTGTACGGTTGACCATTTATTTTCATAAAATCATTGATCATTTAAAAATAAAATTCCTCCATTGAGATATTTTCTAAAAATATTAAGGATCTGTTCGGTAGTGATAATGAGAATTAGTTTTTTCATCGTTAGAGAGAAAAAGTGGATTTCACTTGTGAGAGAAGAAGTCAAATATGACGGTCGAAATAGTGAAATAACGATAAAAAAAAAATTGATTTTTTTGGGATAAAAAATTGCTACCCAACTATGGCTAAACCAAAGATGGATCTGGAAAATGAGCTATATTAATACTGTTTACACAATTCATGATACACATGGTGATCACATGCCAGTGGGTCCAGACTTGATTAAATACTGCCTGACCAAAATTTGCTGGACAATTGGCTCATAGGTTACTTTTCCCTTTCATAAATATCACATCATAATATACCGTAATATTTTAACTAAATGTTCTTACACACTCGTCATATATGCTAAAAGTTGATTTCCTTAATTAAGAAAAAACCGAGGCCTGTTTATTGTTTCTTTCAAACTACACAAGGTGCATAAATATACATGCTTATGCACTTGGGCTCGCAAAATAATCAATTTGGCATAATATATAGACATAAGTTGATTATTTTTTCAATTAAAGTTATCTCATGCCTTTCTGGCAGCCGCAGTGTGGGGGTTCGATTCCTAAAACATGGAATTGAACTCCTTGTAGACGCAGTGTACAGGCAGTTCTTGTTCCCTGACTTGTTGGGACACACATCGCGATTTACCTCTCTCACAAAACTCTAAGGGTATGGCGGTGGGGGCCCTCAAGGTTGGGGTTCAACCTTTTTTTTTTTTTTTTTTTTAAAGTGCCCCAGTAAATGAATTTTTCACTTCCTTCTAAATGTTCACTTTAAATTGGGCAGCAGCTAGCTCCAGTCTGCAAGAATTTGTATACAGTGGTGGTCCTCTAAAAGTTGTTCCAAAACTGTATCCACTTGAAAATTATAAAAAAAATAAGAAAATAGTAATAATTTAGAGTTTCCTGAGAAAAACAATATTTGGAGTTTGGAAAGAAATGTAATGGAAAGTTTAAACTAGCAGTTCAACATAAAGAAAAAACAAATATGAGGCATGAAGTTATGTGCTACCCCCACTCCCATTCCCTTTTAATTTTGGGACATGAACCCATACTGTTGAGTCTAACAACTGTAGATGCTTAGTATCTAGTTAGCTGGTATATAATGATTTATCAGAAGATAATAATTAATTAAGCATGACAAAAATGATAATTTTTTTATTTTTGTTTTTTTTTTTTTTTTTTTTTCCTTCGTTTATGTTCGTTTGTTAGAGGTCTGATTTTACGTTTCCTAAACCTTTTGTACTTTCAAGGTGGTTATTTTTCTGAAAATTTGAAAATTAGAACATGTGGAGGTTGATCTCTATCATTGCGATTCATATGCTTGTATTAAGTCGTTTTAATTTCTTTCGGTGTAAATAAAAATTGACGGGATCATTTTCTTTGTATGTTGGAGAAATAGAGAGGTTCGAGATCTCCTATCATTAAAATTATATTCAAAATTAATGATTAAGGTTTAATTAATAACAAGGAATTCAAGATATCCCTCCGCAATGTAGGTGAATGTTTGCTCGAAATGTTGAATTGTGACTAAAGGATATACATGCACAAATAGGAGTATTTTATAATGTAGAACTTTCTAAATACCAATTTTGCAAATTCACAACTTCATATCAGAGAGATAAGATTTGAGCAATTGCATACATGAAGGGATTCTTGAAGCATATCTAAATTTAAAGTACATGTAAGATCTATTATTAGGAAATTGCTCTGTACATGAAGGGAATCTTGGAGCATATCTAAATTTAAAGTACTTGTAAGGTCTATTATTAGGAAATTGCTCAGAATCCTTATCGACCCCTCATTGTAGGGGTCGGTCCCACGTGAAAAAATAAAATAAAATTGTCGGCCCCTCACTGTGAGTATCTGGCAGGGGTCTGTAAAACAGACCTTTGTAAGTATAGCAGGTCTCCTATTATTATACAACTTAAAATCATTGTTAGTCCATAAACTTATGGGTATGTTCAGAATGGTATCCAAACTTTAAAATGTTAATATTTAGTCACTAACTATATAATGTTTATACCATTGGCAATGAAATCAGTTATGTCCACCAAAACTAATCGCGGGACTGATTTGATTAATTAACAATATCGTTATGTGGTTCGTAAACGTTAATTGTCCCAAAAAACCACGGTTATCTGCCTTCAAACAGCTTAATTATGGTCAACAAGAATGAAAATAGTCAAACAATCTAAAATAGATATTGTTTGACTAAATTAACGTTGGACTATTAACGTCCACTATTATTTGACTTCAATCATTGCATTGTTTGGAAGAAATAATAAAAATGCCAATACAATGAAATAATAGCATTGTGAAAGTTGCATTCTTTTAGTTGTTTCTAGTAGCAATATGAAATATCCAGTTCAATAGTATCTTCTCCATTATTAAATCTTACAACTAGCCTAATTGAAATCACACTTTCTATATAGCCATGCATTAATTACATGCTTTAAATTTGTTCTTCAAGTGAAATTGTTAACTTCTGAGTAACATGATATATCGAATATAAATATTGTCTTAGACATGTTTAAACAAGTAAGCTTAAGGGAGCGTTGTTTGCGAGAATGGAATTTATATAGAAAGAAAATAAATTTTAGGCAATTCAATTGTCTAGAACTTATTTGTATGAAAATTATTAATTAAAATGTGTTTGATTGATTTAGTTTTCAATTTAAAATATATTATACTTGTCCATTTTTTATTGGTGGATAGATGAGAGAAAGAAAGAGAATGGATTTACTCGAAAATAAAATCCTAATCCCCTAAAAAAAAATATTTTCCTTGATTTTGAGATAAATATGATCAAGTGATCAAAAGTAGGAAATGCTTTCCATGGAAAAATGTCAATCAAGTAGTACAAAAGTAGGAATTTAGGAGGAAAAAACATATTTTCTATGAAAAATATTGACAATCAAAGATATTATAAAAGTTTATATTGATACGAGTTTTATTTCTCACATGTGTGTTTATTTATTTATCTTTTATAATTCTATTGAATCTAATTCATCAAACATGTCCCAATCAATTTAAACTCTCTAATGGATTCTAAACATAATTTAATAAATTGAATTCAAATAATCTGCACTTAACTCTAGACTACCTAATCCTTACATTAATTATTTTTCCCTGAGTAAATTAATCGTAATTCTATTTAAATATCAGGGTGAACCTCAGGGTTTTATGGCATCATCTGAATCTTTATGCTTATAAGTAACTAAAAGAGTACTCTTAATTACAGGAAAGTGGAGTTGTTGAACTAGTTACGTGGTGTATGATTTAATGACACTTTTGATTACATCAAACATTTTTCATTATCTAGTTTAACTTAGAATGATCCAAATATTAGGGTCCGTTTGATTGAAAAGATGAAATTTGGTTGGAAAGAAAACAAATTTCATGGAATTGAATTGTCCAGAAATTGTTTTCCAGAGAATTTTCAATTTATTGTGTTTGATTGGTATAATTTTTCACGTGAAAAATATTGAAATAAAAATATTTTTTGATATTTGTTTGATTTTGTTTTATATGAAAATTGTCAATTAAAGGGCTAAAATTTACTGGTATTAGAGATAAAATTTGTTTCCATTGCAAAAAAAAAAAAAAAATAAAATAAAATAAATCCATCATTTGATGTTCGTTCGACTTTATTTTTATGGAAATTGTCAATAAAGGGAAATATTTTTTTACAATAATTCTTAGAATTTGTTTTTATTGCCAAAAAAATAAAAAAAATAAAAAAGAAGAAGCCCCAAACAATAGTCTAAAAATTGAAAAACTTGCTTAATCATGGGAATTGAAATTCCTCATTTTTGTGGAATTGAGGGTCACGTGAGTGAAAGTGAGAAAACCAATTGCTTATAAATTATTACATATCAAACATGCAAAAACTTGGAAAATGGTTAGAAAATTTCCATTTTCCATGGAAAATATGGTACATCAAACGGGGCTTTAGTGTTTCGAAATTCAACTTTTTTTTTTTCGTGGGCAAACTACGACTAGGGCTGAATTTTATTAGTGAAAACATAAAGTATAACTTAGGGAGGAGCAATTTTAACCATCCTTACGCATTGAAAGCCAAACCAAATATCAAGAAAACTTATTTCTTGAGCTGTGCTCCTAGTATGCATATATATTGTCACACTTGCTCCATTAGTATGAAATATCGAACAATATCTTCTTCAATTTAGCTACCCAACAAGTGAAGAAAGTAATTGATAGTTACACACTCGTTTTTTATGCTTGTTTTAAACCCACATTCCATCTAGTGTAGAATATCTGTTTGCTTTCATTTTGATCCTTAAAATTGATTGACAATAACTTTGATTTTTAAAAGATATTTGACTGCGACAAATCCAGGCATCAGCATGTGAATTATTCTATCAACAAATCTTAATTAATCCCATCTACTACATATATCAACGTTGTACCCAATTATACTAAAAATAATTTGATGCACGATTATAATGTTTGTGCTTTTAGGAATTACACGGTGTCTTGTAACAAGAAACACATTGATAAAATGCAAGCTTTGATAGTGAAATGTCCATGGCTGACAAGGACTGCAATTAAACTGTGGGTTCAAGTTTTGTAGACAAAAAAAATTCTTAATCGAGGAGATAAGTTTGACGACAAAATTTTAAAATTTGTGGGTACGAATCATTTGCATAAGATACAAATCATCGCTTAAGTTTTTTCCCGACAAAGTTATTTGTCTGCTAAAGTTACTTTTAGCCCACGAAATGATGTTACTTTTACCTACAAATTATGTTGTGAGCTAAATTGTGATTTTTCCTACAAATAGATTTTTATGCAAAAAGAATATTTGTAGGCTAAGATGTACATTTTTGTCCCAACAATTAAAAATTTATTTTTGGACTAAATCCCTTCTTTTCTCTAACAAATAAAGAATTCGTAGGGAAAAAACTAAATAATTTTCATATATTTTATTTGTTATTTTTATTATAGAGATCTTTTAACCTCATTCAAAAATAATATAAAGGTGCAAAGAGGCAATAAATTAATTAGGAAATTTAGTGTCAGTTAATGTAACATTTTTTTCCTGACAAAGTTATTTGTTTGCTAAAGTTACCTTTAGCCCATGAAAGGATGTTACTTTTCCCTACAAATTATGTTGTGAGCTAAATTGTGATTTTTCCTACAAATAGATTTTTGTGCGGAAAGAATATTTGTAGGCTAAGATATACATTTTTGTCCCAACAATTAAAAGTTTATTTGTGGACTAAACCCCTTCTTTTCTCTAACAAATAAAGAACTCGTAGGGAAAAACTAAATTATTTTCATATAGTTTATTTGTTATTTATATTGTAGAGATTTTTTAACCTCATTCAAAAATAATATAAAGGTGCAAAGAGGCAATAAATTAATTAAGAAATTTAGTGTCAGTTAATGTGACATTGAATCCAAAATATTGCACCAAAACATAAATAAAAATCATTGACTAAGTAGGTTACATCTATACTTAAAAAGAGTATTGCAAATATGCTATCATGCACTTACCCAAAAACAAAAAATAAAAAAATAAAAAAAATCTTCTTCCTCATGAATTAGATATGTAGCTGACCCTTAACAAGGTTATTCTTTTCATCTTCAATAGTAACATCTTCCTCATTAGAATTATTCTCTATTAACAATAGTGTAAATGATAATCAGTCCAGTCTCAGGATTTACAAGAATCTCCTCCAAAGAGATAACTTCAACAAGTAGCTGCTCATTTGCCCTTTCTACAATATATTCATACTCTTTGACAAACATTTCATTCTACGAACACAATCTACAAGAGATATCAAACAGCCCATAAAATCAAAATAGTAAGAGATATAACACAGATGTACATAAAGAGATATAGCACAACCTAAGAGATATAATCGACTTACAAAATCCATAAATGGAGCCTATTAATTCTAAACTGTTAAAGATTGGCACAAATAAACAAGAACAGGTATAGAGATAAAGAAAGAAAGAAAGAAACAGAGAAATAACAACAACAATTTACAGGAATCAGAACAAGAATTGATATATTCAAGAACAGGACAAATTCCCCAGTCAAATTCACTACGTGTATGAGCAGAAGTTACACTCTCATAATCTGAATTTATACAATAGGCTCTCTCTCTCTATACAACTATGAGTTTTCCCCGTGGTTTTCAGATAACGAGTATCAGCCCCTTTTGTAACTTTCACTCTCTATTTATACAAGTTATTAGTGCCCTAATTTTACAATTAGAGCCAACACGCTCTTGTTGGTTTTTTTTTTCTTCACAGCAGTTAGCTCTCAACTAACTCCAAACAGAAATCTGTTAAAACTATAAAACTAACTGGTGACAGGTTAACTGATTAAATAGCTCCCATATATCAATCAAACAGATTCCAACACACTAAGTCCCCAGAAAAATATTAATTCCCTTTATAAAAAAGGGATGTAGAACTAATGAAGATTTCCTTTTTGATTCATCACCCTACCACCATCTATTTTCATTGTTCAGATAATTGAAGACACTAAACCATTGATCAATTCTCTCAAAACACGGGAAGACAAAAGCTCTATATTAGCATAGCATCTACTGATACTACAGAAGATACGGCAGAGCACTTTAATGAAAATGTTAGGAAATAACAGTTAAGGTCTCGCATGATACTTTGAAAATGAATTGGACATTTGGGAAAATAAAAAAAATACAAATATGCCCACAACAGAATGGAACCCCCAGAAAATATTATTTTTTCTTAACCCATGATTGTTCATTATTAGATTTGAATAGGCAAAGAGGTTGATATCCAAAATCATCTTCCTCAGGCTACCCAGTAAGTGAAAAATGCTTAACAGCCCTTCAAAACTTGAACATAAAGAAAAAAAAAAATAAAAAAAAATAGAAATATTAAAAACTAAAAATTCTTTATAAAAAATCGAAATTAAACAGAAGATTAGATCATACTAAAACTATACATAGGATGGACAGTAGAAACAAATACAGATTCATTTTGTTAGAATGGTATCGGATTCGTACCGGCAGGATTTCATTGACAGTAGTGTCAAAAGCATTTTTCAACCATCCAATCACAAATTGCCAAGTATAAATGTGGCACCAATATGACAAAATGAATCTGTNTTATTAATTAATATAATATTATTTGTAAATATATTATTAAATTAAATTAATTGATAAACCAATCCTACCCTCTCCCACCGGCCCATTTTCCCCAAACCCGTCTCTCTCTACACCTCCTCTCTCTCATCTCTCTGTTCTCTCTCGTTGACCGTGACGATTGTCGCCATTGCCACCACAATTACCAACACCGGTGACCACCATCACCACAATTTGAAGCGGAGAAGGCAAACAAACCGGGTTAGGAACTGCGCCGCTCGAAACCCATCACCATCGCCATTGCATAACGACGATTAACGATGCTACATACTGTGAAGATGCCGCTATGCCATGTCGCTGCTTTCTCGATGATGGTTGTGACATTGACTATGGTAGCGAGGTGTTGATGCTTAGGGTTTAGGTATGTTTTTCGACGATAAACGAGGCTGTCGAGATACTATTTTTGGGGGTGATTGGGTGGTTCCTTCATTCTCTCATCTGCTTAGGGTTTAGGTGTGTTTTCTGTTGGTGATTATTGGTTGATGATGGCTGAGGCGATGGTGGCGGCGGCTTTGGATCTATGGTTTTATGGTTCAAAACCAGTTATTTTGGTTTTGATTATGGATATGTGGTTTTTCGGTTGGTGTGGAGGTGGTTTTTAGGGTTTTTTTTAGTTGATGATGGCTGAAGCGACAGTGATAGTGGTGGTGGTAGTGTTTGCGATGGCAGCGATGGTTGGTAGTGTTGGCCGCACGACGATGGCAGTGGTGTGATGGTGGTGGTTGGCGGTGTGGTACAAAAGTGATTATGACCAACTATTTGGGGGTTTGTGACCAACTGTCGGGAAGTGGTGAGGGTGTAGTAGTAGTGGTGGTGATGTCGACAGTGGTGGTGGTGGGCAATGTCGTTGGTGGTGGAAATGGTGGTTGGCAGTTGTTTAGTGCTTTAGAGTGATGGGATGGGACGTAGGTGTTTGTGACGATTTTATTGGTTGGTTGAAAGTTGTGATCAATAAATTGATTAATTTGTGATCAATGTGGTGGTGGTTTTGGTGTTGACGGGGGTGGTGTTGTTGGAGGCAGCATTGGTGGTTGTAAGTGTTGGTGGTGGTCACATATTATTTGGTTGATTGTGATTAGTGAATTGGTTGATCTGTGACCAATAAACAATATGTGACCAATGAAAAAGATAAATTGTGATAAAGAAATATTGTGTGACCTAAAAAATTAATAGTTTGTGACTATCTAATAAGTTGTGACCTATAATATTTGTAATTTGTGACCTATAAAATTTTTGATTCGTAAACGAAAAATATTATGTGACTTATAAAATTTTTGATGTGTGACCGAAAAATAAGTTGTGACCAATAATTTGATGAGTTATGACCGATTAATTAATTTTTTGATTTGGGACTGATGAATAAACTGTGACCTACATAATTTTTGAATTGTGACCGTAAAATAATTTGTGACATAAAATTTGACCAAAAAATAAGTGATTAATTAAATTGTTAATTTGTGATCAAATTGTATAGATATGTGACCTAAATATATTTAATTAATAAAATAAATAAATAAATTTTAATAAATATCTGATTTTTGAAGTTTGAAACTTATTTTCTTAATTTTGAAATATGCCATACTTAATCTCTTAATTATGAAAATTTCCCTTTTTCTTTTTATGGTTAAAAAATTGAAGTGGGTTGGGTCGTATATGTTGTTTTAACTTATAATCGACTTAACCCACAAATAGATAAAATATTTTCCCGCTAAAAATGAAGATAAAAATTAGAAATTTTTTGTTAATTATTAGCCTACAAATAGGTCAAATAATTTTGTCGACAAAAGATAATTTTTGCCCTTCAAATTTTTTGTCAGGAAAAAATATAAATTTTTGTTGGCATACATCCTCCCACTATTTAAAATTTTGAAGCAAAATATACCCCTATGAAACGATGTTTTTGTGGGGGAAAAGTGATCTCTGCATATAAATCTCAAATTGTCTCCCAAAATTTTGTAGAAAAGTATAAATTTCTTGTAGTCAATAAAATTGCAATAAGGTAATAATTAATAAAGACATAAAAGAGAACACAAAATTTATAGATGTTTATCATAATGTGAGATTACGTTCTCGCCCACTCTCACGCTACATTAATTCATTATGATAAAAAGAAGTTTTACAAAAGAAAAATCGCACAACCAGTATAACTTCTCTCTTTTTTAAGATGATACAAAATACTATTGACGACTCTCTATTTATAAAATAAATTACGGCAAAATCAAAATGGTAAGTATGAAATTTCTAAACTAACCTTAACGAAATTAAAAGGTCATTCAACATATGAATTCCGCATAAGAAAATAATTAGGCTCCACCAACACACTATTAATGCATTTTTATTATTATTTTTTGGGTTCTTGTCATCAGTTACAGTCTCATGGTCTATTGTATGAATGTCTATAAGTTTAAGCGTTAGATAGATCTACCTTGTGCATTTTCTTCCATTTTTTCTTTATCACACTCCATCATGTGCATGCTAAATTCAATTTTTGATCAAAGGTTTGTCGTGTGCACAAATTTTTATAAAAGACTTGTACCTAAGTCTTTGGTTGGCAGCATACCATGCGAACTATCTCATTTAAAACTTGTAGTAGTTAGAGAAGATCCCTACTTTAGTTACTTTTTTTTTTTTTTACAAGGTGTCCTATTCTAGACTAATCCTTGGGTCTGTGATCCGGCCCCTCTTCACACAGTCCGGTTAATCGCAGGATGTGCCTCCAACTGGCCAGGGTCCGAGCGCTCCCCACCTGGTCTGACAAAGTGCCAAGCAAGCCAATCCAAGTTGCACCTTGCCTTCCAAGAATAATCCTTGCCTTCCAAGTTCCCACTTGCCTTCCAAGAATAAATCCTTGCCTTCCAAATGTTCCCTTGCCTTCCAAGAATAAATTCTTGCCTTCCAAGAGCCCCATGTTTCGAACTCACGACCTCTGCTCTGCCAGGTTTGACAGCGTCCGTCCTTTGCCAGTGGAGAAGTGCCCTGAGGGGCACCTACTTTAGTTATTTACTTGAATGAGTGGATGTCGTGTTCAACACCCGACTATATAGAGTGGCGGAAGCATAGTTCATTAGTCCAACTTCCTTACTTTAGCCTTTGTTAATTTTTCAACAACATATTTTACCAAGTTTTATCAAAATTTACTAAAAGTTTGATTCTAGTCTACACCAAACATGGACTTAATAACACAGAGACTATTCTAATGGTTATTTTAAGCCCTTGTTTGAGCCCCATTTTTGTCATAAAAATGCATTTTTGAATAGTGTATTGATGGGAAATGTATGGTTAAAAAATAAGAAAATTTTTTATATTCGTGTGTAATATTATTGAATTGAAGAATATATAGTTGAAATGATATTAAAATACTATTTAAGAATATATTTTTTTCCCCAAATAATGAGACTCAAACAAGGGTTAAGTCTCTTGATTCAGAAATGAATTGAAAAAATGTGGAGTTTGAAAGTTTAGATGATCGATTGATTTAGATTCAATGTGTAGAATTATACGGTTAAAAGCAACAAGTCACTTTTTAATTGTTTCTAGATTATTAGACCAAATAAGTCAATTTATCATATATTTGAGGACCACAGTTTGTAAATTGCATAGAGTAAATAACCCAAATATGATCATGGAGAAAACCTTTCGCAAATGATCAAAAACTCGAGTACTGTGTCAGTCAACAATCCACTATAAATGATGAGATTTATAGTATGGTCCATACCCGACTAACATTTAGTCCCCTTTGACCTTCCTCTTGTAATCATCTTGGCCCTCTTGGATTGCATGCTCCTTAGACTAGTTCCCAACCCCTGGTATCGTTTATCTCTTGTGAACCTCCAAGAACGAATCTTGTTTTTTAGCGTCGAAATTTCAAGCGCCTCTTCCTAAAACACCAATAACTTTGGAGGCTAATTGGCAAATGTAGATTTCGTGTTTGAACGAAGATCTTGTGTGTTTTGATCTGTGGTTTAATGTGAAGGTTCATTGCTTGATTAACAAATCTAAGTTTGGATGAATCCATGAATCAAATAATACTATGGTTGAATTTTGAAATCACTGAAAGTAATTTGAATCTTCAAAGAAAGAATCTCTATGATATAATTATGATTCAACACATTTTGAGACGTTCATAAGGTATGATATGTATAGGGAAAAGTGTTTGGGATGAAAAAGAATTGAAAAATCAGTATTTGAAGTAAAACAGAATTCTGGACGTCAACATGTCTCTTGAGCGCCAAGTGGACAACCAATGAGCACCATCTAAACAATTATTAGTATTTTTGTCGTAACTTTCTCCCTGAAGTCGGATTGAAGTGATTTAAAATGCATTAGAAAGCTAATTTAAAGGGATACAAATTCTTCTACATACATCATTTCTCAAATTCGAATGTTTTCTATATGAAAAATATGTTGCAAGTTGAGATTGGAAATTTGGAGCATAACTTGTGCTACATTTTGATACTCTTTAGAGTTCTAATTACATTCTTTTGATCATTTGCGATCTTCTTGGACATTTTTGATATCATGGACTACTTCAAGACCTATACTATCAATTTCAACTCTTTTGACTTTAATTACAACTTAATTTTAACTCAACTAACCTGGATTTTAGAAATGAATAAAGTCAATTACAATTAGGACTCTAATAGAGTCAACTTTATATTAATTAATAATAAGACTTGGTATATTTTGTTTGAATGAAAGAATAGGAATGTCAGATGTAATGAGCTTTTATAGGAAATTCGATTTGGTTATGATGAAGCCGTAGCCTTGGAGAAATTCTAGTAATAATCATAATTAGCTGTGATGTTGAATGTTTAGGGCCCATAGAAGATGTAATTAGAAATCCGCTTCTATCTAGTCCAACACTGTGAATATGCAGGAGAAACATAAACTGTTGCATGCATGGCTGTCCATTCAAACATGTAATTATTAATTGGTATGCTTGTTTAAAATAAGGGTG